AATTTAACTAGCTTATTATTGTAAAAAGATATGACACCCAGACTTACACACACTACATCTCAAAAAATTAATTATCAGTTGCTCGGGGTACGAAATTACACATTTGAAATAAACCTAGGAATCATACCATCCCTACGGCCGAGAGTATTTTACTTTCACAGCTAAGTTTTTATAAGAATATGTTTTTTTATTCTGTGTCATTTGCCAACGCTTAGTACAACGGTCAATCAGCCTTTGAAGCTATCTGAAAATATAGGACCTCACACCTGACAATTACAGCCATTGATGGCGATAATGGRAAGGTTTTTTTGTTAATTGAAAACAAGTTCACTTAAACACGAGGTCAGTATGTTTTCTAAGCAGATGCGCTGTGACTGTTATTGAATAAAAACAGGATATAAACTCTCTTAACGTCTTGAGAATGGCATCGCTAGACAAGACAGTCATATGCCAAAAAAAACCCGACATAAAACTGGTTTTAATGCAGTTCTTTCCTGAAGTCTTGAAGTAAGCAATTGATGTTTAAAAAAGAGAAAAATTTCAATAACTTCATGCCCTTCAAACAAGTGGTGTCGACCACCAAATTAAGAACGTATAACTCGCCTGAGCCTCGCACAGTAACGACTTATTGTCTCTGTTTATTATTGGGGTCTACTGTTGGGTCCCTACTGCTCTTTATTCTATTCATTTTTTAATCTTATCTATACAATGGTCCGTTATCCGCCAATCATCTGTTTGTTTTATAAGCTTGTCYAGTCACTGAATCCATGCACTAACAAACAATCTTGTATTCATCCATCCTGCCTACAAATATCAATCTATTCATTCAAATAGATCAAGATCCAGCCATTCAAATAGATCAAGATCCAGCCATTCAAATAGATCAAGATCCAGCCATTCAAATAGATCAAGATCCAGCCATTCAAATCGACATAACCACCGTCAATACTTTGTGTGTATGTATCCGTCCATTTAACAATCCATCTATTCTTTCATCCTTCCCATCCATCCATTACCTTTCTATTGATTCACTATGTGTTAAATACGTAGTTAAAGGGGCGGGGGTGAAGTGGGTGACCATGACGTCACACTGAAAACATGACGAGTAAAATGGTTTTCTATCCTACGTCGTCTTCGACAAAACCGTGGAAAACAATTCCATCGATATTAACTGACATCGCAATAGACAAAGCACGCGGTAAACGCCCTACTATCTTCCTGATAGCTTTTCACAATAGCAAACACCTTAAACGTTCTAGAGAAATCAGTGGTCCTTGCATTTGATAGTCGGTTCCTCCTGTTAGCTTTCCTTATTTGGCGAATTACCAATTACACAACAGCGTTTCTAGAGAAATGGTCCTTGCATTTGATAGMCGGTTCCTTCTGCTYCTTTCCGTATTGGCAAAATGAATTACCAGCATAACTAGCTCTGAACTAAATTCCCCCCAATTAAGTAGTTATTCRCTTCGATGRAAAAACTCATTTCCTAACAGTTTGTTAAGTAGGAACAAAGAGGAATTTCCTAAAGCGGAAGCCGCAAAACAAAATAAAACAAAATACAACAAAATACAGCAAAATACAGCAAAAAGGTTGTRAATCATTCGATTCTAAAACTTACGAAATTATCACAGTGATTATGGCTGTTTTTTTTGACGAGAAACAGTCCAAGTATCTGCCAAGCTAAGATGACGCATTATGCGTCTAATATKCACTAGCAATTGTTTACGATCTATTTTTGGTATTTATTTTTGTTTATAATATTAAGCATTTCTATAATTAGTCAGAAACGTTTATATTTCGAAAACTGAGAAGGGTTGGCAAAAACGAGTATTTCTACTTAAGCCTTCGTATTAAAATTTAAAGCTTGACACCGAATTCAAATAAGAATATATAATTTTTGATTRACAAAGATACCAATACAACCAAACCAGGAAAAAAGAAATAATCAACCGTTTATAATAAACACAGAAAATGTTATTTSCAGAATGAAATCACATAGAAATCGMAGTTCTATATAGCGGRCCATTAATGATTGAACAGTTTGTGACTCTAGTATATAAGGAAGGGCAATGATAACCATCATTATCGTAATATAGTGTTTAATCAATGTTAAAGAGCTCCGATTGAAAGACAAGCAGAGCCGACTTAGTAAGTAGCCGCCTTTCCCCGTTAAAAGTCAACAAAAAATGTAAATTCTACTATTTTCGGAAGGACAGTATGTACGAACAAAAAATATAGATATCATGCAGTACCGAGACTCCGAAGATGAACAAGTACTAGTCAGTTATCACCAGTTAATGCGTCTCAGATGACTTCATTTAGTAAAAGACTTACAAGGCAAAACTAAAAGTCTTTCACGAAGACCTTTCAGCCCCAAAAAGACAGAGAAAAAGATCAAATGGTTAAAAGGAGCATGAGAAAAAAGCATGCAAGTTACAAGTTGTTAAATTAAGATGGAGTCGTACTTACAAATCTAGAGTTGTCTTTTGAGAATTGGTCAGGCTACTAGTAAAGACGCTGTTTGTACTGAGGGTGTTCTCAGTCGGAGAGCTCTCAACACTCAATGCTGATATTCAGGCTTAATTCAATCATTTTAAACGATTTCGTTTACGTTATACAAATCGACCAGCTGTCTGGCAGAACGATTCTCAACTTGACATCATTTCCGCCCACAAAGATCAATAACTTCAATGCTACAATTCTATCTACTAGAATTGCACTTATTTGTAACTTAAGGATTGCTGTTAGAGAGGAACTTTTGAAATGATCACAAAAGAAATGTCATCGGTATCTTGAAGTTAAAGACCTCGAGGACAAAACTGAGGAAATCGTCGGACCGCCCATTGCGAGGTCATCATTGAAGTGCTTTTGATATTTTGATATGCTCACTGCACTTCTTAAAGAGCAATTACATGAACGAAGGTTTCAGAGAAATCTTTTTTTCAGAACACGTCATTAATAGTTCTGACTCAAAGTGATTTGAGTTTTATGTGAATTCATAGAAAGTTCATGAAAATGACAGACGCGGAAAACTGTGAAAGCCAAAGAGAAAAAGAGTCATGCGCAAGAACATTTCCTATGAGTTTAGTATATCTGGAGTATATTATTGAATCAATTCATTACTAAATACAAAATATACTATCTTTACCATTGCTACTACGAAAACACAAATACTTTCAATGTTCTTGCTGAGACAAATTAGACCCGAGTAATTGGGTGATTTGCGTTTATTTTCCGAGGGCGGAGTTATACCACGCTCTTTTCAAACCACAGCTGAAAGACTCTGATTTTTGACTTAAAAAGGAACTCGTTTTGCCTCAAGGAAATTGAGGAAAGCGTTGATTAGAATCAATTATTTCTAACGAACAAAATAAATTTTAAAAACAAACTCGATAAATTGCTACAGCTTTTTAGGATATTTCGGAACAAGACAACAAATTTTTCAAATTGGAAACGGCGCTGGATGACAAAGCAAAAGTTGACGACGGTCAAGCGGCTGGTTTCAAGTAAACAGAATCGACTTTTTCATRCTAACAGAACTTTATTTCTTTAATTAAATTATCATTGATGCTTTATAAACAAAAAGATGCCAATTTCAAATTCAATAGTGTACTCAAAAAGCCTTTTGAAAGAAACGCAAACATCCCGCGCATGATGCATTAATGTCGTCAAAGAACTAACTACAGTATCCTTACCCATTAAACACACGGCTAAAATTTTAACTTCCGCCTTTTTAAAATCGCGTGGTTTCGTTTTTGGGTGAAAATGACGTCTTATTTCCAGGCTTATAGACGCCAGTAATACGTGGCATTGCTGTGATGATTAAATGAAATGGTTTCTAAAACCATGCAATGACATCCAATCAAAGAAGATATGCGTTTGAATACAGTAACTTATTGACTTATAGTTTTGATTACACTTTTCCGAGAACACCACTTGAACTTACTGTCGCTAGGCTTTGTTATTGAGAAATCRTCCGTGAAATGTTACTTCCTTTAGAAATTATCGAGCGATTGTTTCACGAAAAACTATCTTCTTTGAAGTTTACTTTGGAWGTTTATCCATCTATGTTCAATCTTATCGGTGAAGGATTAAAATGATTGGTCGTTTTTTAGTAAAATTGCCAACAAGCTGATTGCTTCGCTTATCTTCACAAACTGTTCTAGCTTTACTTTAATAAATGATATCAGTATTTTTGGTTCGCCTTAAGGCCGGGAAATACCAAAARAAGTCAACTTGAAGGTGAACTTAGCTTTTTTYATTCAAGTTTACCTTCAGTCTTTAGTTGTTCGTGGTGTATTTTGTTGCTCGAAGGTGAAAAACGAGAAACGACGCAACCGAACTTTACAATTGTACAATGTTCCTTTTTTTGTATTTTGTMTTTCTGAACCTTAAAACTAATCATTCTTATCAAGGCARCATGTTTTCGCATAGTTATCGCTGATTTATCTCGATACTCTTTCAAAAGAACATATTTTATCAACAGTTTTTATTCACTAATTGACAATTCTGATAACAGAAACAGTATTGAACGAGCAAACAACACATGAAAAAAAAAATGTGAATTTGTCTTACACCTTAATTGTCAGTAGTGAGCCTTTTGATAATGGCGTCCATTTGAGTTCGAATTAATTTAAACTTGCTTTTCACAGAGTTACTTTAMACATAATTTATAGTTCGTAAAGACATATCATTCACAGAATTAAGAAATAAATAGTAAGTAAAACAGTGTTTAGAAATAACATGACTTATGACTTTTGACTTTTGAGTTTAACAGCGTGCATGATGATTTTTCTATGATTTTAATTTTTCGATTACGTAGTTAATGTTCGTGATCGAGGAAGCGGTCAGAAAKTTCACTTCATGTAATGTTTGAAAATGAGTTTTTTWAAAAAAGTTCAATACAATWAGTTATCGTCAACGTTAATAAGTTAAAGACACATACGACTTTTGTACATGGAAATTTAAGTTTAAGTCAAATTTACTWGCTAAAAACTCACCAGTAATGTATTATGCGATTAGAAGCTACTCAAGTTTTTGCCTTTTGCTGAAAATAAACACAAGAAAATGTCAAAAACGAATATATTTAATAAGGAATTTGAACGGAGAAAATATAATGTTCAATGTACAACTAAACGACTATTTCACGGGTGGCGTCCATCCCACCAAATTAGTAATACACTAAAATCCCCACTACCCATCAACAAATACAAATAACCAAGCGAAGAAAATAAACCAACAATAGCTCAAACCAAAATATTATACTGTGATCACGATTAATTCAAGAAAATGTGCTTATATGTACATTATTCAATCAATCAATCAACCGATCGTAAAACAAAACATTTGAAGTCGAACTTAACTAATGAGAAAGAAAGTTTTTATGGTCAGTCTGATATCATTACGCCGTCAACATGCTGCGAATCCGACAAATGATGGGCGAGGCCATCTGTTTGTTGCCATTTATTATAAGAAAAGATACCATTAGTTATTGTTGTTTGYGATAACACTCTTCAAGRGATCATTTATGCCTCMTGAATAAGGGAAAAAGAGAAAAAATTATGTATCCGCTCCACTGACATTATCTTGCGTAAAGCGCCTCTTTGCTTCTCTGGTGCAGGCCGCAATATTCCCAGCAAACTGTTCCGAAATTTTACCGAAACGTGATCCATGCTTGCACGAGTCATCGCCTCTTGTCCAGCGACACCATTTTGTATAACAGCACATTGTGGTAGATGTATTCGGCATCTTTTATGCCCATTAAAACAATCTTTATGATTCGCTTTGCGTCCACTTGACACAAACGGCAAAACTACTTACATTTTTTCTCGATTGATGGTTTTCAACCATTCCCTGGAGAGAAAGTTGAACAAAAGATGTCAGCCATTGCTGGTGGACCTGACAAAAGAAAACCACCACCGTGACTGGAGGACCTTTTTGTTTTGCTCACTCTCATGGGAATGGTTGAAAACCATCAATAGGAAAAAGGAATTATGGGAAATTACTTATCTAGAGAAGCATCATTCTTGCCGTGGGTAAAACTAACCTTTTTCGTTTTTTTTGCTTGATTAACAAATATTGAAAGACGAAGAAATATAATAAATTGTCAAACTGTCCATCATAGTCGCTGAAGATTTAAAATAAATGAATGAGTAAATAAAAAAAAAATAAACGAACAAAAATTGAATGGAAGACGAAATTGAAACATGAAACAGTTTCACATAAAAAGCAATATTTCTTTACCTTTTCATTATGTACTTTTGATATTCTTTGAAAAAGTAATAAACAGCTTCTATTGTTGCTAAACAAGTGCTTGGTTTCCTTTGAGGTCTGGAATGAAAGCCACCAACATTTATATTACTTGAAACTTTATTTCTAAGTTATGCTACATGCTCAGACCCTGCTTTACGGTCAAACACTACAAACAATCCTAACAACAGAAATAATAGCCTATCACCGAGATATTACAATCAAAATCTTTCTCAATATCAATACAATTCTGTAGTCAGCATTCTTGTTTGAAAAACTCTTTTAAAATCAATTTATCAGAAGCAGAGAGCACAGCATTACAGTACCTCCAAAAATAAGTAGTTGCATTTTCTAATTTAACTCTCTGTATATCTGCAAGTCTTGGATCCTAGAAAATATAGATGCTGAAGTTATAAAACATATAACTGAAACTATTCTGAACCTACTTTAAGAAAACAGCTGTTTGTCATGTATCAATGTGAGATCAAAAATGAGGTGAACTACAGTCRCACAGCACAGCATTCTTGACAGTCAAAAAACATGACAAAGACAAAAATAATACAATCTTTTGTGCCTGAGCATGACTTACTGATATAATTGAGTGGGTCTGGTCCCAAGTACTGTCAATGAAAATGACATGGTCAAAATGAGTACAGTCATTGCTGGAAGTTTTCTTTTCAAGATCACCAAGACTCAAAGCAGTCTGCATGAAAACAAAATTTGAAACACATGTAAGTGAACTGTTTAATAATTGAAAAGTTCAAAACACAGGGTATGTTATTTTTCCTCTCACCTCTGAGGGATAGACAAGAATGACCTGAAATATGTGAATGCAAAATAAGAAGTGAATATAAGCAAACAATAGAAAACATTTTTTGAAATAGAAAGCCAAAAACAAAGGAAAGGAATGGCTCTGACTACATGCTTCATTTCACCAATAAATGGAAGTCTATTATTACTTAACTAACACTTATTCTTCAGGCTGGTATTTGATTTTGTTTTACCTTTTCTTTTGACTTGAATTGTGGTATTGTCTGTAAAACAAACAAGAACATCACATTATTGTAATGTCAGTCTTTGATTCTAAAGGTAACTCTGTTGGTTTCAAATTTAAGTAATAACAATTTAATAATGCTTTAATCACAGTGTATCCATGAGGTGGTTCTTCAACTATGATGCAACTCACACACTCTACCTCACGTAACATTGACTGTTTTAGCATATGGCACTCCTCACAGCTAGTTTTTGACTGATGGAGGAAAACCAGCATACCTGAAAAACCCTCGGAGCAAGAAAGAGAACCAGCCTACAAACTCAAATCACATATAGTCCCGGACCGGGAATCGAACCAGGGAGTCACAGTKGTGATCGACCAGCGTTTTAACCCCCCCTGGCCATCCTTGCTCCCCATAAAGTACTCTTTAAAAGACTTTTATTAACATTTGTCTTTGTAAATGGCTTAGAACATTAGCTATGTGATAACTAATTGATAGCTATTTCAGCATTTTTAGGTCTTATCAGCATGTGGAGCAATGGAGCTATTTGAATATCTACTAAGCAAACAAGGATGTTAGTGAAAGGTTACACTGGTGCATTTTGTATTGCATACGGTCCATTCACTTTTCACATTACAATATGTAAATGCTTTAANATTCTTGAACTATTAACTCTATTTTTCAAATAAAAAAATTCGTGTCATATGCACTTTAATGACTTACTGAATGAACGAATAAATGAAAATGAATAAAATTAAATGTAAATGAATGATACTCACAGGAAAATGATGAATTGTGACATTATCAGGTGCTAGTATTGCAGCATGACAAGCAGTGCTTTTTCCCATTACTTCCCCTTTATGCTTTATTCTAAAACAAATCAACATTAATAGAAGAATAAACCTTAGGTTAGTCTCCTCTCGCATCCGTTAGGACGTTCGTTCCCAGGTCAGATATAAAACATTGATTTAAATATAGGTAATAAGCAATAAGCTTAAATATCCTTACATGTCTACTTGAAGGGGAAGGCTAACAAATGGAATCATGGAACGTTCAATGCCAACAACATCAAAGCATTTATAGCAATAGTACTTTCTAGATGCCTTGCATTTCTTGCAAGTGCTCCTTTCAGCATCTCTGCAAGCAAACCACATTAAAACAACATTACTCAGTAGTAGTTACCCTGCCAGGAGTACAGTGTATAGAGTAGAGTGGTTTACATTTTTTTCTGTCACTGAAAGACTATAATGCRTAATTATAAGCCAAATACAATCTCAAATGAGTCTAACTCACCTTAAAACTTCAAAAGATGAAATCTTTAGAGAAGCAAAGGGATTTTCTTCAAGTTTTCTTTGTTCGTCTAGATTTTCAACTTCGTCCGCCATTTTGAAAATAGTATCACATGATAACGAGGCTTGTTCTCAGTCTCCCACGTTTCTCCTTAGMAATCAGAATCGTTTTGCCGTAAAATAACAATTTATAGCATGACACTTTTGATAGATGCCTCTGTTCATATAGGATTTTGTACCTAATTTTCCACTGCAAAAATAAGTTGAAGAATAAAACRCTTTTATTAATGTTCTAAATGCTAGAGCTTTATATACTATTAAATTCATTTTTTCTCTCAACAATGGTCCCATGGTGTAATGGTTAGCACTCTGGACTTTGAATCCAGCGATCCGAGTTCAAGTCTCGGTGGGACCTCTCGTTATATTTTCTTTTTTTTTCTTACCCATTTCAGGAAATACTTATTCAYGGTTTCTCGAATTTAAGATAAAAGATTTTTTAAGATAAAATATTTTTAAGATAAAAGATTCGTAGCACTTTCAACATAACCCACCTTGGGGATTGTACAGTGAGTACTATATATTTCTGTGTTATCTTTTAATAAATAAATATTCCATATTTCATAACTTTTTCCTCAAATATTCTGTATTTCACAATATTTTCCTCCAGTTTTCAGATTCTTGATTCGGCTTCCTCTTTAACCCCCAAACCCATCAATCSATTATAGGCGGCCATAAACTTTACAAATGTATTAAATCACTCCAACATAATGATTATAGGCGAAAAAATTGAATATGTTAGCAATAACCAAATTCATTATTAGAACTCAATTGATTATTTTTTGCAAGACAAAACTAAAATACTAAATCTTAAAAAATTATAAATTTAAATGGTAAAATAATATTATAATGGCATAAAATATCTATAGTTCCTTCCTCCACTTTCAAAATGAAGCATTTACAGTGATTCCTCCATTTACAAGTTTTGCTATCATTGCTGTTGAGATCTGGAATAAAAAGAGAATACAAATAAAAGCCTTGAGTTGATTATAGTGTCAATTAATCACACATTTTGTATGGCTAAATGCAAAACATTAGTCATCAAGATAGAATGTGTGAATTTACTTTTCCAGGCAAGTTTGGACTTATTGCTGGCTAATCAATCATGCCACAGTATATAACTATATTTGGGAAAGAGGTTGTTGGATGCTGCCCAACAGCAATATTAAATTACTAATGACAACTCAAAAATCAAGATAGGATAATATCAAAGACAGCATACACGATTCTTACCTGTGTGCCTTTCACTCTAAGTAATCTCAATTGTTTTCCTAAGTGAATTAAGTCTTGTAAACTTTTGTCTGTGACTTTATAGCACCAGCTAATATCTAGTTCTTCTATAAGGGTGCAATACTTTGCTAGGGCTAGGACTGAAACATCTGTCACACCATAGGTACTGCTCACACACAAGTCCCGCAGCTTTTTGCAATGCTCAGCAATGGCAATTACACCATCATCTGAAATCTTGAAAGTAAAGAAACACTTTGCAAATAGTATTCACTTTATGTTAATAAYTCATTGTTCACAATGTGTGTCCAGGCCTATACTCAGGCACTGTCACTAAAATATTCAAGATGCAAATAAATAAGTCTATGCTACAAAGTTTAGACCTTGTGTTTGAGCACTGGTGCAGTACCAAAACCTCTGGCTGGACACCAGTGAAAATGAAATGTGTTCATACTAGTGTTCATACCGAGACACAGTGCTTGGACAACAARGGTGAACTGTGCTTAATAATCAACAGCACCCAAACTACAGATATAGGGGCATCAACTCTCCTGGATTTATCGGGAGACTCCCGATTTCAGATTGAATCTCCTGGTCTCAAGACTTTAGCCTTAAATCTCCCGGATAGCATGATATTTTTATAGAATCGTAGATTTTTATTAGAATTATGTCGCATTTCCTCGATCTGTCAATACGGTACCATATTTTCAAAACAAAATACCTACAGATGTTGCTTAAATATATGCGCGCACATAAAATATATTGAAACTGATTATGCAATGTCTAATCCCATTGGTTGAAACAATCCCATTGGTTTAAACAGAATATGACGTCATTTGTGACGTCATGAAGAATGACGTCATTCGCATCGTGAGGCATCATACACATAATCGTGGCAATTTCTCAAGATTTATAAAGTTTGGGGGTTGACATCCCTGCAGATAGCAGAAAGCCACTGACTTTAATGATTTAATACCTGAAAACAACTGCTAAGGTTGAGCACTTGCAGATCTCTACACATCACTGACAAATGTTGAAGAAATGCATCTGAAACACCTTTACATCTGCTCGTGTTAAGAGTCTGTAAATTTGGACAGTTTCTTGCAATAGTAAATAAGTTCTCTTCTGTTGCACTTACCCAACAGAAGTCTAAATTGAGTTCTCTGAGATTTCTCAGTTGGGCTACAACACTACACAGCCCCTCTGGTGACAATACCGATTCGTAAGGTGTACAATCCAATCTCTGAACGTGTCGCAAATAACTATTGATAAAACTTTGGTAAGTCTTTGAAACTCGTCGTGAAATACACAGCTCATTCAAACCCAAATATGACAACACGCGAAATACAACTTCTGGTGGTAAACTCCGAAAAGGATCTTCTTTGTTTTTGTCCTCGTGCACACATTTCTCGGCTTCTCGTTCATCTATGAACTTTCTTACAACGTTTTGCAAGTATGAATTATAATCCTGGTGGGTTCGTCTCTTTATAATTTCGAGGTCTTCAGTGTGGTTGTAGAGACAACTATCATCGTCCACCGCCATCGACAAATACATATCTGGCAAAACTTTTACTCCTTTAGTAAGTTATTTATAGAAATAAATCTTGAAATAAAACCGACTACCGCATTAAATAAATTGATATTTTGTAAAACATCTCGTASATAGAAATCTACGTTGTCAAAACGAATACACAAGATTTTTAGACGAGAGGGACTAAGTCGAAAAATGCCACAGGGACTCCATTTTTACGTGTAAAACAGGTAAACTAAAAACCCACCAGGGCCGTAGCTAGTAAGAGGCCAACCGAGGCACTCGCCTCGGTAAAATTTTTCCGATGCTTTTTGTTCTTCATCACTAATATTATCTTAGCCCCTCAGAGACGATTTCGCACGACTGATTTTGTGCAAAAAATATAAAAATAATGTTATTTTTGTACGTGTAGCTTCTTTGTTTCATAGATATTRCATGATGAATTCCGGTTAAATCTGTTCAATAAAGAGTTACCAAAAGGCCCACAAAACGCTGCAACTTGCAYTTCCGAGAGACTGAATTTCAAATTTTCTAGGGGGCGAATGCCCCCAGACCCCCCTAGTTTCTCCCGCCATCGCCATCGGCGGCCGCTTGCCTCGGTTGTCCATTCACCCTGGCTACGGCCCTGCCCACATGCATGCGAGAACCTAGCCTTTGCGATCGTTCRTTTTGTTGATTTATTTGCTTTCTGATTGGTTCAAAACCAAAGATATTTGGTTAGATAGTTGGCAAATGTTCTCGCATGCCCTTGGACTTTTTCCAAGGCTGTTTTCGGTATTTTTCTTTGTGGTACGTTTGTGACCGAGTTCGACTCGAATTTGCGTTAGTTAGTATTGCTAAGTTTGGTCCTAAAATGGAGAAGCGGGGGCTCTGCGGTTAAATGCTCAATAGTCCACTTCGCGGATAACACAGCTATTAGAAATTGAGCAAATATCGAAAAACTATTACCACCACTGGAAAGAACAGTATGAAATTAGTATGTTTACCAGGTTTGAGCATGATTCGATGAAAAGTCAAGGAGAAACAGCGTTTAAAAGTCGGCAAAATTTACAAAGAAATGTATGGCTGTCGGCATGAGRCCGAGGTTGACCTTGACTTGTTACAACCTCGCCAAACATTTCTATGCAAAATTTAATGTTTTTGAAGTGCCGTATCTCTTTGAATTTAAATCAGATTATTTTCAAACTTGGCAAATTTGCTGATTTTATGACGCTCTTTCCAGTGATGTCAATGATTGACCATAACGACGTAATGTAAAATTTCGAATTATCCGCGAAGTGGACTATTCTGTGCGTGGGATTTATTTTTTAAACTATCCCCAAAACATCCCAAAACTGCGTGTCTCTGAAAAACGCCTAAAAGCATACGATTCCAAGGAGAGTGCGGTATAAAAATCACAAGCCAACACACTCAATTCTTGAGTTTAATTTTTTACAATAAATTATCATATTTTACATATTTCGTGGTTCGAGATTAGATACACCACTTTAAATATAATTTTTTTTTTCAAAATACTGGTTTGAATTCAAAAAATAATGGATAGAAAACCTTGTATTCTTTTTAACAGCGACGTCTAACCCAATGGGAAAACGTTGGTCCAAGCAAGCAAGTTTAAAGCCATAAATATCTATACCATATAAGCCGATCTTCCTTTGGAATGACAATATGAGCGTTTGAGAAAAACGGAATAACCTTACGAAGAGGGCGTACAAAACAAAAAAACGTAAAAAATCATAGGAAAATATTTTACAAACCCTTTTCGAGTAATGACCAACCATAAATATACACTAAATAAATAATGACAGAAAACCGACCAACATCAAGCTAGTCTGAAAATGACTGTCATTTCCGGAGGGGTTGACTGGCGGGTAACTTGCATTGATACAAGTAAAACACGAACCTCGCTAACCCCTCCGGAAATGAATCTCATTCTAAGGCATTATGTTTCAAACAAGCCTGTAAAATTTTAGGATGGTCGGTGTGCAAAAATAAAATGAAAAAAAAAAAAAAACACAAAAAAAACAGAAAATACAAAATGGAAAAAACAAAACAAAAAAAAAAAAAAACGAGTTATTCGCACCGTGATCGGAGAGTGTATCGTTGGGAAAGAGTTCTACAATTTACAAGCCATCAATCTAGATTTTTTCTCTAACATTTCAAAAATATATATATTTAGAAAGTTCAGTCTAGTATTACTACTTCTCTACGGGAAACGAAATCACTGTAGCTATCAAGAGAGCTTCCGAAAAATCCGTTCATGTAAGCACGGTCTTCAAAGTCACTGACATACACACAATCCTCCTTCATAACATCCTGCTGTATGGATTCTTGAAGCTGCCGCGATTTTCGGACAAGATTTTGGAGTTGAATTCCAGTCATGTCGGCGAGTTTTCGTCGGATTCTGTTAAAGTCTGATCGGAGTCCAGTTTCCAAGAACCTAGGAAAAAACAAAGACAACATTCATATACATATTTCCTCATAAACGAGACATAACTCGTTATTTAAGTAAAATAGCTTATTGACTAGTTTTTCCACAGTAGTATATCACTTTTTTGATCCAGCTTAATCCAGGAAATAACTCAATAATCTATCACACGCCACGGTTAAGAGTACTCCAATACGAGAGTTTTTGTTGAAGCAAGCCACTCCTTTCCGACTTCTTTCAACGTTACAAGTCATCGACAACAATAACATCCCCAAGCAAAAGAGAGTTGTGGTTGGCGGTGAAATTTGTTTCCTTCAAACACCAAGATTACGACAAGTTAATTTGATATGAGATGAATATAACGCTGGACTTCCTGATAAGACTTTTCAATATGGACACGCCTTACTTATCACAAACGTCGATTAAACAAAACCCGATGTTGTCCTGAAATTTCTGATGCCAATTCAGTAAAATTAAAACCGCAATGAAATGTCGTTCAAAAACAAAATTAATAATAAAAACCTAGAGCTTAAAACCTAGTAATTTTCAACGCCAAAAGATCAATAAATTCAAGAAGAAAAGCCTAAATATGACAAGCGATTTTTAACATCATTCTAAGCAGGGGGCAAAGTGAATGGATGCCCAACGTCGTCAAGAAAGTAGACGACATCACTAATGACAATCTGCCGAGTAGGGTCTTTGTATTCATCAGTGAAATTCGATCACGCAAAATAACTTCCGACTCGAAATGGATAGACCGGTTTGAACTGACAGAAGAACGACAAGATAGCAAAAAAACTTATCATTCTCTCCTTGTCAATTATATTTTAAAGCACACTGCTCTTTACATCATCAACGCTAAGATAACAATAAGTGTTAATTTGATGTCATGTTTCTGAAAAAGATGAAACGAACTTAGGCGTCGGCACCAAACCCCCAAGCACTGTCCACTTTGATATCGCGACTGCATTTTATTTACTGACTTTCACGCTGTATGTACGCGCACTGCCGGTCTTATCACTTGTCTTCTAGTTTGTCAAAACAGTGAATTACCTTTCCACGAGACTTTGAATACAGTCTACTGAATAGTGAGGATTTGGAAGCTCCGTTGAAGATATACATGCAGGTCGCAATGGTCGAACGACGTAGTCTCCAAGCAAAGGATGCATCCAACTATTTTCCTTRAACCACGCAACTACGATCTCTTTGCGTTCAAAATACAGCTTGAGCTTTGAAAAGTATTCCAAGCTTCCTTTTTCGAGGAATTCCCTGAAAAAATAGCAAAAAATAAATATACTGTGAACAAAAAAGGGAACAAAGCTCTTGTCGCGTTATGATAACAATGCGGGGTGTACAGTAACCATGGCAGCGCAACGGACACGAGAGATTTTCTTTACAGAAAAAAAAATATCGGCATTGTTTGGTTTCACGCGATGTTTATTTCTCATATGAAAAACAGTCTTAAAAAAGATAATATTCCAACTGACTCGAAAAGGAACCACCAAGGCAGCAAGGACACGTAGATCGAACATTTTCTTATTTCCTGGCGAGATAACCGAACGTGCGACTTTGATTCAAAGAGMAAGAAAAAACCTGTATAATGAGACGGCCCGAGGCGAAACACTGATCTCTTTTATCAACTAGATTTCACCTGCATCGYCAAAGTCGGAAACGTCACATCCGTCTTATCCATAAAGAACAATCATATTAAGGTTTAGGCACACTTTACGTCTTTCAGGATTCGTTAGTATTTGCCCTAACAAGAGTAACGGCTGAGGTTACATGTCGTTACAGCCAATATGCGGCTTAGTAAAGTGCTCGTCTTTGAAACAAAGGCAGTTAAGCCAAGTGTAGTGACAATATCCTGCGTCGATATGGTCTCAAGAGCCATGTATATTAAACCAATATCGTGAATGGACATTATTCTTTTGTGATATCATAGCTAATTGGCAGTCAAACAAAATCATCAGAAAAACACTGGCACACAAGCACGAGTGGCGTTGTCAATAAAAATGACATTTACGTGATGTCGTGACGTTTTCCACTAATTGAAAGAATATTGAGAATTATTCACTGAACGTAACGTGTTAGAGTAACGTCACTAGGGATATTCGTTGGCAGAGTCACGCTTCCATTCACAGAACAACGACTATTTTGAAACCTTCACCAAGAAATGGAATTTCCATCAATTCTTTTCAGTGGCAAACCAATGAAAATAATAAAAAAAATTGTGGCACCGCTTTTTAAAAACACTTAAACCAATAAAACTGTACTTGTAACATATATTTCAAAAGTTTATAAACTTTATAAAACCTTACTTGCAATATCTATGTTCTCTGACTACAGCTGACGGCCGGTGCTCCTTCCTGTACGCAGTGTCCTTCCTATTCTGCCATAGCCACACCTCATGAAGTCGTTCAATGTATGGCTTTGCTTTACTCAAAAAGTGAGTCAGTGTGAGTTCGACTTCTTCAGCAATTGGTGCCAGCTGAAAATGGAAAAGATAGAAAGTTTAACTCCATGTTTCCTTATCATATCTAAGTTATAATGCCAGTGATGTTAAGACTTTACTTATTAAATTGTTTTGTAAYCATTCGAGTCTTTGCAACTACCCTGTAAGCAGTATTTTTCTCTAGCACAACAGAGAGACAATCATTGTATCTGCTAATTTCACCKTGTTCCTAACAAAATCCAAATCAAGGCAGAAATTATCGCAATGCTTATCGCAATGGTTTTGCATAAAACAGGGCATTATTATGGTGCGTTCCACACTGGGAACAATCAAATACCATTGGATTTTGAGAGTTTGAAATACAGTACATTAAACAAAACATATTTGGCAGTTAGTTCCTATTCTCCCTTCAAAGTATTCAAGATGCCAGCACAATCTGGTAACCAAAATATCTTAACAGTTCATTACATAATAAAAATACATCAYGCTTTTCAATAAACTAATTCTTATGTTAGTGTGCCAAAGATGTCTTGTTGAAAGTTGTTTTGGTTCACAGCCAATGATGAACAACAAGTCCTACATCACACAAAGTAGCCCTATACTGGTAAGCATGTAAAGTCTTATAAAGATGAAAATAGCTATGAATAATTTAACAATTTCTAAACTGTCTCGAGTTGGATGTCATCTTATTCGCATGCACTTGATGTCGTAAGGATGCTTAAGTGGGCCCATGAGTTCAGTGAGTGDGTTCACTACAAAGTTGTGCAGGGTTTTGAGTTGTACACACCTCTTAGTGACACACACTACAGGGGCGGGGCAGATGGGGGAGGGGGGGGGAGGTTGTAGCGGATTGGGGGCTGCCCAGCTTTTTCAAAGCTCTACAAACCATCTCTATGCTACTAATTCCAGAGTACTGCTTTTTTCAAGTATCAGTATGTCCCTCCCCCTCCCCACATAAAAATAGTGTGGTGCCCCTGCACTTTTGACATCATAAAATGTTCAAAAGTCAAGTGGACCAACAAGCCACAAGCTAAACATGACTGTGCACACAGTGTCTCTTATCCTCTCATTCACACACTGATCAGCCAGCAGGATTATTCACTGTGGGCTAAAAAGCCTCTTTTGTATAATATCTACATCTTACAACACTGTCATCAATATCTTTATTCCTAGATTACCTCTCTGTTGACATATTTCAGACAATGACGATAGTCCTGRGCAACCATTTCTCCTTGTCTTGGTGGCCATAATTTTATACTTTTGGCATCCAACCAGTTCTTAAAGTAACCACAGAATTCGGCATAGGCTTTAACAGTTTTGAAACCTCCTTTCAGCCTCCCATCGATGTATTTTGTTGTGATCTAAATTAAAGTAGCAAATTTTTTTAAGCAATCATGTTTGAATTGYRGACATTGCAGCAAATGAACAGTCAAAACTAAAATCACCCTATTTTTTTGTCAGAAAAGAGGTCAGTGAACACTCAGACTAGCCACTGTGATCAAGAGCACATTATAGACCAAATAACAAAATTGAGGACCAATTCAAATAACCCTCAAATAACAAGCCTGCTGTTTATTCTGCAACRTAGTGACTTGCAGTTTGCATTGGTGGGATCCTAAAATATCCTTTAGAAACAAGGGGCTTTTGAGTGGGGARCAAGGTAGTCATTTTGTCTGCTCCAATCTMTCTGACTTCACTCAATGGCCCCAAGTTCAGTGCTTTAGAAGAAAGGATTGACAATAAAAACATACATGAAGTTCAGTTAAGGAGTTTGTTGTCTTAAATATTCCCACAGAATTTAGGTTATTATACTTTCTAAAATTCTCAATTAAGGCAACATTCATTGTAATGTCRAGATGTCTCAACTTTTTTTTAAAAGATAAAGTACAAAAAAAATGTATTTAAAAAAATAAATTTAAATTGAATTCTTAAGATAAAACTTGAGTGATTTCATGGTCCCAGCAATACAACACAATGGATGATTCTYTAGAATTTTTACCTGATGCAGCATGTAGTTGTGAGTTGTCGGTCGCATGTGTTCTGTTAGAGCCTTAAGCGCTTTGTGATTTCCCATTTCTCGATCTTCTAGATATTGATACCATTTTTGCTGCCGAGATGAGTGAAGTGAAAGTTGGTAATGTTCTTCTAAAGCTTGCCTATTTCTCAGGCAGCGTTTGAGTACATAGTTTTGCATTGAAATGATTCCTCCATGTTTTTTGACAAATATTTTATATAAAGTTCTCCACTCATAATAACTTGAAGGGAAATCAGCTTCCTGGTGCTCATTTCGATCTTAAAASAAAAAAGAAAAGTGAATTTAGTGTAAACAATGTTGGARGATTGAGCATKTGGGTRCCAGGGGTTTGCTRTCCCCATTTCCCTGCACGTCCCTTTCTTTGTGTATATATCCCTACTATATAAGGGACATCTTGAACCAAATAGAACTCATCTTCTAACAAGTTGTATACTTACCAACCAATTTAAAATCTCTAAGAATAAGAACTTGGATATCATTTAATATTAAAATGTGAAATAAAAAGGCAGCGATAATACTGAAACAAACTCCAAAGGGATTTAAATTGGATGGAAATATTTTTAGCTGTGTTAACACTTTAGTTTACAAGAACTKCTGTAGTCCAACTTACTCAGATAAAATCATTCTAGGTCATGTTTAAAACTATAAACCCCTCACTAGAGCATGGCTATACCTTGTTGMGATTCTTCATAATGAGTTTCTAAGCATTTATCTGTCAGTCCCCAAATAGACTTCGCTTGACTTGGTGTAAGGTGRCTGACGCTATGTGAAGGTGGTTCAGAACTAAGAAGATACCAAACTATCACCGATGTCTTCAGTTGACTTACAGGTCGGAAAAAATTGTGATCATTCTTTAAGACTTCAGCTTTATAGAACATTGCATAAAGGTATAAATAAGAATATTCAGGCCATTTTACATATAATTCGAAGTCAACCTGAAAAAAAAGTACAGGTATATTAATAAAAGAGAACAATGCTCAAGAAAAAGAACAAAATTGGTCAGTGTGTGATATGACATGTGAAAGGAAGAACTATTGSTTTTTGTTCCATTTAGGCCTAAAGTTAAATAAAAACTCATAAAGCAAAGAGCCTTTTTTCAGGCATATCAACTTTCTTTGTATAATGACATGCACTACAAGGCTCTGTCTGTTAACTATTGTTTCTAAACATGTTTATACATGAATTTACTTTGAACAATATTTTAATGYATTTTAGTATCTATATTGTGAATCTTTATGCCAAAGACATAGATCACAAGAAAATATTCTGTGAATTGAACATACTAAAAATCCTCTGGTAAAACTTCTTAGAAAATATTTCATTTCTTACTAAAAGTTTTTTATTTCACGCCTGAGTTGAAAAGAAGGACAGAAGAAAGAAGTCTGCTGAAATATTCTGCCATATGATACAACCACCATGAGAATACATTCTAGAATTTCACTTTATTGACCAAATTGCCACGATAAGAAGCCACAACCTTAAACTTTTTCCCACTGCCCATAATTTAGCAGCAGATCTTTACAAAGGGAACACTCTATTGTACAGCAGCTGCAGTGCAATCATCTACTTTAACCTTTCAACAAAACAAACTAAAACGTACCGACCGATATTTCTGTAAACCAGTGAATTGAGTATTGTCTCGCAGTGCGATACGAGTTTATGCCACGAATAAATACAGTTCAAAATATACTCTTGTCACTGCAGAACAAGTATTTTGATCCAATAACACCATTTGCATCTGAAATATACTCTTCAATTCAATCTCCATCTGCGAACTAAATTGCAAAGCCCAAGGCATTGGCTAAGACTTGTCAATACATGTAAAAATTGTTGATTTCTTTCTTGTAATAAAAGTAGTTTGATGAAGGGAGGGTTATTTGGAGGAAGTAACGAGGGATGTTTTCAATGCTTAATAAGAACAGCTGGGAAGGCCGGGTGAAGATGGAACAAAAACCCATCTCATCTCTTGTGATAATATCGCCTTCATCTCCCTTAAAAATGGCCTCGATTTATTTATTCATGGCTTGTCAAAGGAGTTTGGAATCCAGTAAAAACATAACGTGTGTGTATACCAACCATGTTGTCGCGAAGAAGTTAGCGTTGTGTGACCATAAACATCGAACGAAAACAAAAACATTCAAACTTCGAGCTAGTATCCAACTTTAAAGCTAGACTAGTAAAACATGGCTTCGATCGTTCGACTATACAAATTCCATGAAATATTATTGCCTGTGATATAGCGTAAGCTGACGAAGAATTTCGGCCCAAATGAAACAGTACCTTGGTCTCTTGTTTCACCAGTGATAAATTAAGATAGAATCACGATTTCGATCGAAGAATTTTGCCTAGTTATGGTCTCCACAGCTTAAGTCTTTTAGTATTATTTACACAAAGAACAAAACAGAAAAGCCTAAAGAGAAACAAAGCTCGAATTTCTTGGCAGCCTTGATATGTTGAATAATAAATTAGGGGTAGCTTCCTGTACTGGAGTTAGTGCGAAGGGAGGGACCGAATCTCTCCTGCTTTAGCGCTGGAGAACAAAATGTATCTGAAATGTACTCATATTATTCTTGGGAGCTATAGGTATAATCTTCTATTTCATACGCATAAATACACAACAGATATTTACTGCTTTATCCATAAAATATGATGGGTTTACGGGTAGAGAAACGAGCCACATGGCATCTCGGAAACACACTGTTTGAAAGCTTTGTGCTCGAAATTTACAGCAGAATAAAGCAATCTTGAAATTTACATGAAGCAAAGTGTATTTCTCTTTCCATAAAGAACTGAAAAAAATCAATTTGGCTCACTAATACCTAAGAATAACGTCTACGTACCTTGCATCGATGACGCCATATTAGATCGGAAAGGCAAAGTCGGTGAAATAGTCGACAGGTTTTACTCAGTATAATAAGACTCCTAAAGTCTAAATATTCCAAAATAAGGACCAGTACTTCTTCGCTTAGATGCGTAAGTAAAGAAGGCTGTTGAATTATTGCCGACGCCATCTCGTCCGGTTGAAATATTCTAGTATTTGTTGGTACATGTAGTCTATGTGACGGGAGACATGAGAATGGTGAATGAGTTCGTCGATCTGAACATTCGTTGATAAATTTCTTCGCCTTCGGTGGCGGTAAACACGAGTCCAGCATATTTCTTTGTAATGTAGTCCCTAAAGAATTTGCTCCTTTGGGGTTCAAAGCTTTAGATAAATACTAAACGATAGCCCAAGTCCTCCCTTGCTAATGACTCAATATCTCTAAGGCCAAGAATTGAGCTTTGTTGTTTTTATATTCTTTTGACACGTGCATTTTCCCTTACCAGAGAGCATGCGCGACCTGCAGATGACATGATTTGAACCAATCAGCGTTGGCGGCGCGTGTTTAGAATTCTTTGTATGATGAGCGGGTTGTGCTAATAAAACATAATTACCACTTCTCTTTCACGGAACGCAAATCACTCGACAAAGGACCGAGAACCTTAAATCCAACAAAGCTATCAACTTAAGCGAGACTGGACGCTGGTCGTTTGAATCGTCATAGTGATTTATCAGATCTTCCTCAAGAAATTGAAAGACAAAAAAAGCACGCAAAGTAATGTGCCAAACACAGTTCTAAACGTAATCCGCATTATGATTTATTTAATTTTGACAATATTCATCCTCGCTTGAACCAAGGAAACAAGACATGTTTCAAAAGGGCTCAACGTGGATTCTGCGTCAGTTGAACCTCTGACATGTTCCTTTGAAGAGAATTGGAGCGTTTCGAATGACTATCATTGTGTCACGCTGGGTCGCTTCTTTGTCCCTTGATGCTGACTTGTGTACCGGTGGTCGAATCCGGAGGTTTGAATGGCATATCAACTCGCCTACTCGCTCCCTTATCCCTTTTTGCTTTGACCTTTGTTGTCGCTGATGACTCAGTTTCCTGAGCCGAGCTTTTAAAGTGCAACTTTACGTCGGGATAATAGCATTTGAAGAAAGTAATTTCGTTTTGCTTTTCAACGTCGACCATACTCAAAAGCTGAGAACAAAAAAATTGAAAAGCGGAACTTTCTGATTAAGAGGTCTCCTGTGTACAAATTCAGTCAAGCGAAAGTAAAATAATACCGAGAAAAACAATTAAGGTCCTTTGTCAACGAAAAAGTGTAGAGCGTCTTAAAGCATATATTGCTAGGTAATTGGAAAACGTAAGGCCATTAGTAGACCGCAGTAAAAGGAAAGAAACTAAGCAATATATTCAACAGTTCTTACATTGAAATGACTAATGAGGTATTACTTTAGTAAGTACAGTATATTTCTTTTCGATGGCAGGTTAGTCGTGGTCAAATTCTCCCTAAGAGAAATGCCAGTGCCATGGTCACAGGGTTTTTAGCTAAATAAATATTGAAAATAATCCAGAAACTAAGAGCGAAAATTGAAATGGTTGTAATGTTGGATGTAAAGCAACCGSCTTTCAGTGGTGGCGAGCACTGTGGTCGACGCAGATTATTCAAGATAGAAAAAAGCGAAACTGAATTGTTTCCTGTGAATTATACTACCAAAGCTCGCTGCTGAACAACGGTGATATGGCCGGCGAGTCCGCTATAAATATGTACTTTGTCAGGGCAAAACCCTTGTATTGAAACCACGGAAACCACAAAACTTGCCGAAGTAGATCACGTGATACCCCCCACTGGAAAACCAGCTGTTTATTGGATACTTTTGTCAGCGAAAATAAATGATAGAAGAAAATTAATAGTTATGATAATTGTATTGATTTATGTTCAGTTGGCTGAACAATAGAATGAATTATTGAAATGACAAACACTGCCATATTGAATTGGCCTCTACGAAGGAATACAAATGACACTCGGCTAGCTCATTGCGCTTCATGGCAAAAGTGAAACTMAAAAACTAAAGAAAGACATTGAACAACAAACGAACAACATAATCCTTCTTTTATTATATACGTTCATCGCAAAAACCGCATTGAAAACGATAGATATCGAATCAGTATACGGGAAAATGTTTCTCTGAWGCCGGGCAGACCTTCACGTTCTATCAATAATTRATATCGTTCGTGATGTCATCCAATACGCAGTTATATGTACGTCGAATAAAGCCACTAGTTCCCTAGGGATCTCCTCCCAATAAAACCACCAGTCCCTAGTTATTCATTTTTGTTGTTTAAACAGCTGATACGAGTTTCGCATTTCTGGTAATATTCACTCGAGTCAAAACAAGCGACTAGAAGTCAAGAMGATTCCATTTTTCTATTTTTGGYAGTGGAGCCATTTCAGCAAGCAGGTTTTGTCGCATTTTGGAAACAGAAGTAGAATTTCCATATGCTAACACGTATTTTCTAAACATGTTATTAGTGACTCTTCAAAGACCCAATTAAAGAGCTTTGCGGTAAAACGCGGAGACAAAAAGTTTTGAGAAGGTTTTGTCAAGCGACGACCTTGACCATAACACTTAACAAGTTCCTTTGGGCTAATGAATTCCATTGAAGGCAYAAACACGTAAGGATTTTTRAAAAATRTCTTAGAYTTTTCGACCAGTTTTCTTACTTTTACCGTACTTCAAGCTACAATCTACATATGAATCCGTTGTCCAAGTTAAACCTGCCATTGAAACTCTCAGTTCTAATTCTCGATACCAGTCTCCACAGACGTGCATATGATTACCATGGCAAGATGTTTTTATCAACAGTCTCTTTCTGTTGAAAACGCGTAAAGGTATTTATTCATTTCATGGAGTAAGTATAAGAAATGGTTGCCATGAGCTAGTGGTACATTTGAATAGCTAGCGACAAAGATTGGATACTGGTCATCTATTGATACGAGTGGTTAAAAACAACCAGCTTTACATTTACGAGGTATACCACCGACATACGATCACCACACGTGCAACATATTCATATCACTGTTATCTTTACGGGTTGTTTCATTGTGCGCATTTGTGGGTGTGGTAACGAGAGTCCGTGGGATCTGAGAGGCTGAGAGGTGACTTTAAATTATGTCACTTTCTACCAGACAGCCAACTCACATGTTTACACGGTCYGCCGGAGGAGCGATCATAGCAAAACTGAAAGCTACTGAATTCAATTCGTCCAAGAAAAGTTTCTATTTGTTTTCAGCATCCGTTTCAACAATAGAACAACCTGAAGGGAAACTAAAACAAGATGGATAGTTTTCTAAATATTGGAAGTGATCCAATCGATGATATGCGATCTTCACAGAAACTGTACAGCGAAAATGAATACGACTCACTCTAYKCTCACAATCAGAAGCCGAAGTGAATACATCAGTTTCGAYATATTATTTCGACGAAAACAGTTTCTAAACTCTTGAATCTGTTGAATTATAAAAAAAGACATTAAGTTCCTCTCCAGATTGAACCACCCGCGTTATCATGAGAGCATTGGGACAGACGGCGCATTTACCGTGTTCACCCATCAATCGGCGGAGTTTAAACAGATAGAAAAAAAATCTCTTTCATTTCTTTTTTATTCATTTCAGTGAMGCTGATATGGAAGATAGTGCCTCGATACTATCATGCAACCATACACTGACACTGATAACTCTTTTGACGTTTTAACAAATATTTTATCGTTGATAATCATATCTCCAGCACAAAGCAGAAAAACATAAATTGATTTATCAGTTAAAAAGGGAGTAAAGTCATAATGGACGATAAAATGCATCGGAGGTGCCGGTGACTGTAACTACGTGGATGACGTCATAAGCCCCATACCAAACAGTACGTGCTTGTCGGGGTTAGTGGCTCGTAAAAGAGACCAAAATACCTATATTGACACACCCCGAASTATAGCGCAGTTGATAAACCAACTAAATATTGACAGGAAGCCAAAAATGATGTCTCAGCTGTATCAACAAAAGTCGAATAAAAAATCGCGCCAGTCTCACTGCATCAGTGAAGCTCTATTAGATTTTTCAGTTTCGAAATCTGTCCAGGTATTATCGAAAATCCGAACTGGTAATGTCCATTTGCTCAATTCTTTATTACATAAATTTCTTTCAGTTTCACTTCTCATTATTCCTTTTTATCCATACCGGAAAAAGRAGCACATCATTGGATGCAGAGACGTGTGGAGGAATGAGGACTTTTATCCGGCTGGAAAAACTTTGATAGAGACTTTGATAAGGAAAATACGCGAATATTCCCGTTTGAGCGGCCCAGTATTCACTGAAAGCGACACATTGTGAGAGTCACTGTGATCAGCATGTGACCATTTGCTAGAACGAAAATGTACTTTATTGGATGGTGATTGTTATCACGTAACCTCTTCATGACTACTTTAATGTTATTGAAAATTGTTCAAAGCAGTTGGTCGGGGTCAAGACGGCTTTTCTAGTAAAGCATCGATGCGCGATGAAAGGTGTATCGTCATCTAGGCAACGATAATAATTGGATCGGTATTGATCTATTGCGACAGTCACTCATGTAAAGAACTATGTATTTTTGTTTCCACACAATGTAAATTTATCCATGAAATAAAATCAAACTATCGAATTATTTACAAAGAATGCGTAGCAAAGATTTGGGGCTTCACTTTGATCATTCAGGACACWGCTTAAGGACTGCATATCCTAGACGTCATCTCTATGGACATGACGTGACGTGTCGCAATCGAATCTACTAGAGCCTGCGACGTAATCGTAACCTTGCAATGTCACTGAACACTGAGAACGTCATGAATATTACTCATATTGTTTGCACGCGGCTATAAATAGAGGATGATGTCATATCACCTTAAATTTTCATCTGTCTGGAATAGCCGACTTGCGAATTACGCATCAATAGTCACATACAAAGGAATCAAGACGAGGCGCCGTGCTTTTTTGTGAAAAATCTATTGTCTTTAGCACGGCACCTCGTCTTGATTCCTTTGTATGTGACTATTGATGCGTAATTCGCAAGTCGGCTATTCACAAAAATAAGCTAAAATAACTAGATTGTACAATGATACTTATAAACGTTGAAAAGCCTTATCCTTAACACTGTTTTTTTTATTTGAAAAAATAAAACATAACTTGCTAAAAGTGATAAATTCCATCCGTGACTCAGTGAAAATCTGTGACTATTTCTTATGCAATGTTTTTTAGCTGAACAAATCCCCTGCTGAAAATAGCAGAGACAAATACATACGCTCACAATGGCTGAAGACACAAGGGAAAACGTTTTAAATACTTCAAGTAACTTGCGAGCTGTAATTTGGTGTAACAGATGGAACTCATCAGTGAGAACCAATGGAAGGGAATGAAAGATAGAAATTGAAAGCAATGAATATAAAAAAACTTCAAAAAGTAAGATCCCGCACAAACAGTAGGGAAAAAATGAAAATGAAAAGATAATAGAAAAAATAACGGGCAGACAAGAGAAATAAAGARTGTKAAAAAAGAAGTAACATTTTCATCATGTTAATTTGGTCYCCCTGTGTCATKATTTGTCACCAGTTCCCAAAGGGGAGCTAAATCAAAATGGCGGACRGAGAACTGTCAGATTCTTCAATGAAGTTCAGAAAAGTCAAATCAGTAGACCTCTCTGTTGGCTATTCCTCTGAACAAATACGTTCTTTGATATTGAGTAGTAACGAGCCACTTATATTGACCGAGATGYTGAGAGATTGGTCGTGTTCTCGATGGACTCCAGAGTTTTTAGCAAGCCAACTCGGTTTCTTCCAAACGTCTTTTCGAATATGTGCAAGAATGGATTCTCCTTATTATAGATTTCATAAGAGTAAGGTAGTCATGGAGTCTGATTGTATTTATGCTAAAGCAAGTTTGTCAAATTATTGTGCCTGGCTTTCTGGAGATGTACAAAATGCTGGTGAATTATCCAAATATTCAAGGTACTGTACGTTAGCTAAGTTAATTAAAATGCTATTGGTAGTTGAGAAACGTAAAMTTATATCGTACATTATTACAGTTCTTGGTGCTGCTGTTTCCTTTTTTTATCTTGATGTATCATCTCTCAAGAGTAAAAAGTAAATAGATAGCAGTCTTCTTCAATGTTCCCTGCATCATATTGAAAGGTAACTTTGCATCAAAGTAACACAACCACAATGATAGATACCTATGAATGATGATGTGACTGTAATGCGGAAGTAAGTTGTTGGTATGATRATCTGACTGTAGCAGGGATGTTTGCCCTTGATATAGTGCAGTAGTTACTGGTTGGTGTGGTGATCAGACTCAATTTAGCTGTTCCAACAATTCCATATTTGACATCATTTTTGTTTTGTATGTCTGGAACACAGTSGTGATCTTCTGTTACTTATTCCTTGCTCTCAGAAATATTACSCAAACAAAGTCTGTTGGAGCTTGTTTTCATTTCAAAATTTAAAATATTGGTCATTTTGCTTTAAATGCAAAGCCACAGCTACCTTTCAAGATGGTGCAAAACAAATAACATATCTCTGTAAAGCAAAATATTGCTAATGAGATAGCAAAATTAGAGAAACTGAGTCTTAYGTTACCACATCAAGTGGTACATTCCCGATTAGACTATTTTTGCAAACAGGACACTTGTTAAATAAGATCACATAATGGACATTTACTTTTTTGGTTTGTTTATATGGCTATACATTAATTTATACCAGTTGAACTGGCAAAAGTGTTGATTGTTCATAGACTTTGTTAATTTTAAGCCCATTCAGTTTGAAGATAATGGAGACCCTGTCTTAAACACTGAMATTGTTCCTTTTTAAAGGCAATTTTATTGAAATGCTGTCAGAATAGCACTCTTTGTTGAAAAGACAGTGACAAACTTTAGTGATTAGAATCAAAGGAAACAGGTCTCAAACTCCATGTCCCAAAAAATGAGTAGACCACTTGAACCATGACAATACATACTTGCTTTAATAATATTTTGATGACCATTTAGAGCTCACTTCTGGTGCTATGCTGATTACAAATATATGGCTGAGATATTCAAAGATTTCCCAATACTGAGAAAAGCCCCAGAGTGGGGAAAGTTAGGATTCCCTGAGATCACTGGTGATGAATCAACAATATGGATTGGCAGTGAGGGTGCATCAACACCATGTCATTTAGATACATATGGTTGTAACATGGTTGCTCAAATACATGGCAAGAAACGCTGGTGTCTTTTTCCTCCAAGTGAAACAAGCAAGCTTTATCCTACTAGATTACCTTATGAAGAATCAAGTGTATTCAGCCTTGTTAATATAAAGAATCCTGACTTGAACGTGACACCAGACTTCAGTTCAGCTATTATGTATGAGGTTTGTATTTTAGATAGTTTTGATTGGGGTAACCCACTGAAACTTCACAACTCTTACCCTATTTAGWCACTATATGATAAATTGGGATCCTGTTCAAAACTTTAAAGGAAAMTTGCACACTCCATGAGTTAAATTRAATAATTGATCTTTGTCAATTTACCCTGACTCTTTTCCATATTCATGGCTTAACAAGCTTTTTGTAGTCTTGCATCTTTACTGTCCAAAAGATGACAATCAATTTATAGCAAACTAGAGTAACAAATTGCATTTTCAACTTCATTATRRCCTTATTTATACAATGATTTTAGGTTGTTCTTGGACCTGGTGATGTCCTTCTTGTTCCCAGGCACTGGTGGCATTTTGTTGAATCAATAGAGCCATCAATCAGTATTAATACATGGATCACCTTGGTAAGTTTGAAGGAGGACAAAATGCACATGTATTTGATAAACAGGCTTTCACAAGACCTTGATTTACTTATTGAGTATTATATTATAGGAAAGTGATCATGTAGACAGAGTTCGTGAAGCCATCACCAGAACMTTAGTAAGTGGGTCTTTTGTTTATACACCTTGATTGACAAGTTTGAGAATTTTGTTTTTAAATATCATTTTTTAAAGAATAAAATTATTTTAAAGTGAATGCACAATAATGAAGATACAAGAATGATAAAATATAGGCAGGGCATAAACATTGCTGTCCAAAAATCTATGCTGTCAATTGTTTTCAAAAACCAAAACTTCTGAATCCAATTTATACTGTTATTTTCAATGGAAACTGGACTATTTTGTGATCAACATTAAGTTGGAAAATTTTTATCCTGTTGTCTTTGCAAACTTGGTCAGTTTTCATGTTTTGATCAGCATTTTAAAATCTTTTGGCTTTCTCATACAGATATTAATACATAGTATGGACTGCATTGTTGTAAATAATACTGTGCTTACATACAACATACCTTTTGAAAGGTYTGTTCAATGAAATCCTCAGAAGGAGAAGATCCCAATAAATGGCTGAAYCCYACTGAGGTATGATTTMCAATTTAATTGTTTTCTTTTGTGTCCTTTGGTACTCTCATCTCTCTATGCTCCTCATTTATCAGTTGACAAAGTTCACAAGTGGCCAATAAATTATACAAAATACAGCTATTTCAAAAAGCATTGAGCACAGAATATTCTGATACTGCATAGTTCACTCCAAGACTGAATTGCATTGTGTTCAACAATTCAAAACAAAGGTACAGAGCTGGCATGCTTGCTCTGAAAAATTTGAAAATTAACCCTTCAAGAGCAGTGATGAAACAACTGAAAATGTATTTTGGTTTTGGGATACACTTTGTCAGGGKTTTCTTTATCTTTTTGAATAAGCATCTGTGTGATTGAAGTAGATGTCTGTGTCCTAAACAATTTACAGTCATTAAATAAAGTGATAAGTCAAATACTGGACCAAAGTTGAAACAATTCACGACGTTTCGATCGATTACACCGATCTTCCTCAGGTAGATCGAAACGTCGTGAATCGTTTCAACTTTGGTCCAGTATTTGACTTATCACTTTATTTAATTATCACGACTGGATGACTAATTTACACTTAAATTTACAGTCATATTTATTAAGTAAGACACAATAGCTGACAGTAAGATGGGTAAAATAGGTGATGCTATACCTCTGCCTATTATTGAAACCCCTGCTTTCTCCTGTTTCCAATGTTTTCTGAAGCRGCTGTATAAAGTATTTCTGGCTTTAAATCAAGAAGGCTGGCAAGTCTCTAAACTTTGATAAGATATTCAACAGTCAATCAGTGCAGGCCTGTGCACTACATCTGGGTGTAAAACAAGCTATAAATCAATATTGTTTTGTTTTGTATTGTAGACACTTGGCTCACATCATCAACATTTACAGTACATCCAAAGTGCAGTAAATATTGCTATTTCAAAAGAAGTGCAAAATGGTGTTGATGGTCAGGAAGCAGCAGACTGCAATATAACTTATAATGACGTCATTAATTGTGCTTCATCACCTCAAATTGTATGTGCAATTGTTGACCAACTGTTGCAAATAGCAAGAGTGAAGCGTAAATACAGTAATCAATTTGATGGGTCCAATGTTAGAAGAATGCATGAGTYGGAACACTCTTTAYAGAAAGAACCCACCCAAAATTCTTGCAACTGCAAATGYTGTTCATCCGAAAATAMCAAACACTGTATGTTAACAAGACATGCAAAGCGCAATCTCAGTCAGAATGGCATGGAGTGCTTCCCATGCTGTAAAAACAGTCCACAGAAAAAGRAGAGAAAGTGAGATTTATATGTTGACCAGTGCACAGGCAGCCCAACTTTRAATCAAATAGGTGATTTAGAGTTATAATAAATGCTCAAGAAATCTGATTTTATTTTAATAGTTGGATGRAATACAACAACAGACATTTAGTAATAACTGTTGGTTTACTACCTGTGTATTATTAGTAGAAAGTCTCATTAACTAGTAATTTYATATTTTATATAACGCCAATCCAACAAGTACCACAAGTGCCMCTTGCACTGAAAGAAAAGAGCTGATGTGAACAGCTTGATAATTACATTATTTTTATAAATTACAAAGAAATTTACAGAGCTCTGAATATAGTAAGCAATAATGAAAAAACCCCTGAAGGTAAAACACACGACCAGGTGCATTAACGAAAAATATATTCATGTTTTGGTAGGAAACCTAGACGTGTCATTTCCACCCACTTCCGGTTGCTGATCGATACCATTTCCGCCAGCTTGACGGAAGTGAWCTATTTTCGACTATTAAAAATAGTAACGAACGATCAGTAGGTGAACCCGGTTTACTTAGCTTTTTAGCCAAGAATTCGATTAGCGGAGGATTGTGTTTTAATTGAGTGATGTCACTGGCCTTTTCGTGTGATTAACACGGTAGTACGGTGATGGATGAGATATCCAATCGAAATTATCCCACTGAACGCGTCAGCGGATATGATGTGGTTTACATATAAATGGCTGGCATKTCACAACATTGCCGTTCTTTGGTAGATACAAATTGCCAATCATGTCTAAAAGAAAGGAATGTTCAGGAGACACAAAAAATGAAGTTATTCTCGCTAAAAGATTKAAGACAAAGAGAGTTAGTTTTGGAGAAGCCACAACATTTTATTTTCCTCGCCGACAAGGATTTATATCCGTTCCTTCGTCAGGAGGCTTTACTCTCGGAATGGCCTACAAACACTGTTATGTAGAAACAACTAAGCTCTGTTCTACGGAAGAGGTCCTTGTCAATGAAGTAGCCAAGCAAGTAGCGTCTATACCACAGAAAAAGAGAAAGAATTTGCTCAAAAAAGCGGGGGTCATGAGAATATTTAAGAAGGAAGAGAAAGACTGTATGGAGATTCGACTGTCTCGTGTGCTATGCGGCTGTTCTTGCGGTGATGTTTGTGAACCAACATCATGTGAATGTTCATTGAATGGCATYGGCTGCCAAGTTGATTACGGTAAATATCCATGCTCTTGTGAAAGGAATTCTTGTAAAAATGTSAATGGTAGAAGACAGTACGATCCTGCTGTCGTTCGACGGCATTACTACGAGACATTCACTAAAATGAATGGTCTAGCGATCAATGTTGGACTCGAAGAGGTTTATATGTGATATACATGTATCGTCTAATTTATTGCTGGAGTGCACAGGCTATATACAGCGAATTTTCTGAACAAGTATACGCCTATTAATGTTATTGGAGACAGCTCCGCAGTCCTCAGAAGAACTGCTTTGCTTTGGTTATTAAAGAAATATTATGTTTGAAAATTTTCTAATCAGATAGGAAAKCTTCTAAAGTATAATTCTATTCCAAATCGAATATTTAAACATTTATTTTCAAATGCGAATAAAAATATACATAGTGTAAACAGCTAGCTACGTTTGTGGTGATGTACTACTTGTCACGCAATCTACGGCAATATCAGCTGTTGGTCTTTAATTGTTCGTCACGTACTCTATATTGGATCACGTTCAAACTGGCTTGCTTTTACGAAAAAAAGAAATCATTTMAGCGCTAGTAGAGTGCTAGGAATAGCTGTTTTAAATTTTGCCTGACAAAATGGTCGAGGACAATAGATTAYTTGGGTGGGGCTGAGACAAGAGGACGTAGTTCGTCACCAGTGAGGATCCATTAATGTTGACATTTTGTATTATTTTTGTCTATGTTTGAGCCAAATTTAAACACGGTGGGTTTCATGTCAGGTAGAGTCATTTCGATTTCTYTCCTCGTCATCCTTTTCATAAGATTGATTATAGTGAAACTTGGACTATCATTATTGACAATCTACGAAAATGTTCGATAGGTGCCAATGCGCCCTTGATTTCGAACATCAAGTTTTCTGTAGGGACGTACAGTGTCACGATAATAACTAATTGGACCCCTGCTTCGTGCTTTATTTCAAATATGAACAGTATACACGCGAGCAAAMATGACAAAAAATCATTTACATACGACGACGGTCGAATTCTCGTTCATTTTTAGTATGTTGTCATAGATGTATAAGTGGCCTCTTAACTCCAGGACGGTTAAAAAATCAACCACACCCATATGGACAGTTAGCACTAGAGCACGGAGAAGCTGCCTGCTGGAACTAGAATCTGTAATAAGTAAAAGGGTCGGTGCAGATGGACTGTGGGGGTGTACTGCAGAGATGGGAGGGTTTAGCTCCTGCATTTTTCTCTATTTGGCATTTTCCCAACTCACTCAAAAAATGGCTGAGATACTAAGTACTATGTATGTGCCCTTTCTGTCTCGGCCAGTCTATGTTATAAAGTTTGTTAGACTATATAGCATTCTTTTGTATTTTTTTTGAATCCAGTATTATTTGGGCCGAAAAAACTAATCCAACACGACCGATGATGGAAGTTGACCTATCATGGATCGCGCCGAATGAACTGCCTGCCACGGCATATCACTACTGTCAAAGTCGTCCGCTAGTTTTGAAAAGGTTTTAGTTTGATGTTTTGTATATTAAAATGTTTACATGAGTAATCCTTTATTTTCGAATGCAGTTTATCGCGTTATCGCATTGTATGCTACTAGTATCTTCTTTAGTTTCGAAACTGGTAACTTTTGTTTGGATAATATACAAAGGAGTTTTTACCGTTTTCCATGTAGCTGTAGACTTTTGTGGATTAATATATTCACAGCTTTTCCCACACCTACATCTTAATCAGGACGCAGGATAAATGATGATCTTCAAATATTGGCTGAACTCCTTTATTGTTTGACTTTCATTTGACTGCTTTGTTATGCTGCGCCTTAACATTTTACGGTTGCTAAAGTCTCGTTTCTTTTCATTAATTAGAAGCGCTTCATAAGTTGATGTACAGAAATCATTTTCCCCATCCCTCTTATACGACGATACTTCTGAAGGACTGAAACGACGCGAAAAAAGTGTTTGTGTGAGTAGGCACAACAAAGGGCTCATATATCTACAATATTGGGGTTGTCTATCAGCCTAATTTGATGAATAACAGTGATTAATAGTTATGTAAAATATTCTCAGTTTTCAAGGTGAACTTACTGCGGTCTGAAACAACTTCCGGTTTCCAATTTGTTGTGTCCGGGCTTCCTGTTTGTATAAATTTTGTAAATTTTTTATGAAAACTTTGGTTTAAACAAATAATTGATGCCTGAGAGAATTTTGATGTTGTATATACTTGCTTCTACGAAAATGTACAGTTTCGTTTTATGGTGAATTCGTTTCCTYGGTTCCAAATTCTAAATCGAGACGATGCCATATTGAATCACGTGATTGAAGCCCCATGGGTAAATTGCGATTTGGCACCTAGTACGACACCGCATTCATAGCATCTACATGAYATCCATTTGAAGGCAGTTAACTTTTATTCGTAAAACACGAATAACATTGAAGATCTTCCTCTTGTTCGACCTAGATAAAACAAGCTTTAGTTTCCAAGTGTCTGAAGTCTTCGATCTGCCGAAACACATTTCCTACATACGAGCTTGATTCACCAAAACAGCATCACTTTCAGGCTCTCCTAAAAATTACTCCAAACGTCATGAAATAGTTTATTCATAAAGCCATTTCCGTGTCTTGGTATTTGGGGCAATCGCAGTCATTTATCCAGTGTCTGGACCGTCGACTTCGTAATTTGAGAAGACTCTTTTATCTCATTTTGAGCATCTTTGGACATCTTCGGGCTTCGATGTTTCTGGATCATGAACTCCAGTAAGACCTCTTTTCGTGTTAAAGAACTCTATTCTTGGCAGAAGTTGCAGTAAAATTWATCCCTGTAATGGCAACAACAAGAGCTGCTGTTCTGAGAGAAAATCGAGTAACTAGAAGGGAATTTGCTTATGCAAGAGACGAAAATGTAAAGCCACGATTAAATGCGAGTAATAAACATGAGCGTTCAAATGCCATCCACAAGGACGAACAAGGAAAAYCCTATTCAAAATTGGCTGCTCTCCCGAAAAAGCATTTACACTCTGATTTGAACGCTGTCAATGCAAGAAAAACAACTTCRACGSTATCATCGCAAGACAAGCAACCCGAGAAAACCACGAAGAAACTTGAAGTAAACCGAAAGAATTCCGACCAAGAATCCAAACGACTCAGTGTTAGTAAGCTGAAAAATATATTTGATTCGATCGAGACTGATGGACAACTAGTGTCTAAGCCTAAGCCACCGCTTAAGCCAAGACCAAAATCTGCAGTAAAGATCCCTAAAGAATCTGAACCAACAATAAATAGATGGTCTGTCCCAACTTATGTCAACAACGCGTCTACACAGAACTATAAGATCTATGTTACGGAAGGAATCGCAGCCAAGAGGGCTAAGTTCGAGGACAGTTCGTCAGAGAGTCTTCCCATTTCACTTAAAGAGAAAGGATCTAGTCCTAAGCTATCAGATCTTGTCCCAGAACTTACGGGCGATGGAATGAGATCGAGAACGCGATCTGATCCAGGAATAAAGGCATATTACAAATTTCAAAAACMCTCCAAGCAAAGGAGCTATTCTGATGTTGGGTCAGATGATGACCACATGCACTTATTCGAAAAAAGACATTCTTTTGACGATATATCTATAGGAAAACCAAGGTCCTTCAAAAGGCTGTCAAAGTCAAGCAGTGTAGATGTTTTAGAAGTGGGTGACATTTCTCAGTCTTCTTCAGGTAGTGACAGGACAATCAAGGAAGAACCACAACACATAGACTACCAGGAATCCAATTCATTAGAGTGCTCCCCAACWATAGAGGACATAAATGGTGATTCCACMAAAAAGGAAAGAATTGATTCAGGGATCTCTTCATCAGTTGAAAGCAGTGCTGAAAATAGTGAGGAAATGTTAAAACCCGAAGAAGAGGATCAACCTTCCATGAAAGTGTCCCAAGTGAAACCATTTACAAACGACAGTARGGGGGRAARTCATCWCTCTGCTAATCAGCCTGAAAAACGAGTTAGAGATGAATCTCTAATCTATGGACGGCCAGGTGAAGTTCGACAGGCAACATGGAAAGACGAAGAAGTTCCACCGGAAGAACCAGAAGATAAAAGACCMGTCTACTTTGCTCCTGAAGTAAAGAAAGAGAAGATAGATGTCAAAACAGATGTCAATCACGTAGAAGAGAATGATGWTGCTATGATTTCATCYGATGATGACAGTAATGACAGCTTTGTGCAACACAGTTCTCCAGAGGCTGACACACATATACCTAAAGAGCCATTTACATTTGATGATAAGYCTCTTGTATCTGCATTTGCAAAGAAAGAAGCAAAAAAATCTCGCAGAAATGTTGTTTTTGTACAAGATGAGCCAAAGAAATGGTTCACTTACAGCGCAGAGGACTATGTCAGAGGGAATGAAGAAGTCGATCCAGTCACAGCCTCGGCAGAATGGGAATTAGAAAAAAGAGTTGAGAAGATGGATGTTTTCTCTGTAGACCTAGATAAAGGTGAGAAGCAGATTTGTACATTTAAAAACAATACATGCTAGTGCTTGTTCTACATCACATTGTTTGTCTATTGTTTRATTTGAACATAGCCATTCAATTAATACATTTGATTGCTTGCTCAGATGATTTCTGCTATATCTATTTCTAAATATAAACCAAAAGTGGACTATACCTAAGGCTGAATAATGGTCTTTTTGAGTGTTATCTTTATTAGTGTTTTTTATGTTTATCATAGTTTGTCTCTAACTGTGTCCTTGTTGAAAGAATCTTTTAATCTCAGTTATTCTTTGAGAATCCCTTGATGCATGACAGATTATGAATAATCTATAATGTCAATAACATATAGCAAAGACAAGAAATTAAAGACTTGTGGCTGTTTTGCCCATGTACAATTTGACAGTTTTTGAATTGGCAAATAGTTCTATCATGACTGAAGAGTATGTGATATTGTTGATGAACATCCTCTGATGTTTAATTGAAACCCAACGTAAATGCTATCTTCAAGATAATTGTATCAATGATTAATGGTCATACGATCACGTCATCATGTAGCTCGAGGGTATTGGATGAAGTAGAAATATATATGATAGATTTCTAGTATTTACTTCTTGAATCAAAACAATTAAAAAATATGTTTTGAAAAGTACACTTTATAAAATCATTTTTTTTTTTTGTAAAGCAATATTGTTGAAATTTTCACCTCTTTGTCTTTATCATGGTGTGTAGCTTATTTATGAATTCAAACAATATAACAATTTCAATATTCACAGCGAAAAAAAATATTTACAATTTGAAATTAGACCACAAGTCAAATTCTTGTAGGTTCTACATATTTTTAAGGAGCTATTTTGAATGATGACATGTTAATTATTTATTAAGGTATGGTAAATTTGCTCAAAAGGTGCTATTTAAATTGAGTATCAGTCAAATATATTTTCACACCTCATAGAAATTATAATGAACTATAGCACATCTTGGATTGCACTATTTATTATTAACAAAAAAAAAATCATAGAATCATGTTCTAAAGTATTCATTTTTGAGATCTACAAAATGTTTTCACAATAATAGTACATGTGTACTTTATTATCAGCCATATTTATCACATGTGTTTGAAAATTTCACTTTCACAATACTCAATGTTGTCCATTTGACAAATAATGGCAATCATTTCATGTGCCAATAAAGTAAAAAGTCGCCTAAAAAAAACACATTCATTCACAAAGTCACCTGGCAATATCCACAGACACTACTTAATAACAAATTAATTAAATATTCCCAGACATATCTTAGTATRCTTCCATTGAGTTGAAATTAAGTGAGCACTTTAATTTTTTGAAATAACGGTCCATTTACACAAGAGAGGATGCCCCTAGGTAAAAGAAACAGCTCTTTTTTCTCCACTGAATGAAATGAAATGAAGAGTTTCTTTTGAAATGGAAAAGCCCATCCATTGTCATGACAGTACAGTGCTTGTACTTTTTTTGTTTTCATCTCACAAAGCAAAAGAGTTATAGCTAATGAACTGAAAGTGTTGACCATAGTGAAGTCTTTTTTTGAATTAATCTTTAATGATTCCAGTAAATTCCATGTGCATGTATACAGACTTTGTGTTGGACAATAACTAGTGCTAATGTCACATCCAGGCCTGTCTGAAAATCAGGCTAAATGATATCCATATGTTGTATGATTTAGGTCCATATTTTTATTTTATGTAATTATCAGTGCCACTGCTTATATATTAATTAATAAAATATTCAGAGACTTATAAAAAAAGCATTTTCAAACTGAAATGGTTACAATATTGTGTGATTTGTTAAACTCTTTAAAGAGAAAGATTCTAATGTTTTGTCATGTCCTTTTTTGTCTGTGTTAATGAAGTATGATTTTTTTGCTACTTAATAAATATTTATCTATAGGTAAAAGCTATTGCTTATATTTTGTTCTTTCAACTTCCTGTCTGTTACTCCATTCCCTCCTCCCCCCTTATATATCCCAAAATGCTGTACCTCAGAACCTCAGAAAGGCAATTTTATCCAATTCATTTTATTCATAACATGCATTTCTACTTGTACCTACACATCTAGATGATAGAGGTCTTGGATTGAGTATAATTGGACTTGGAGTTGGTACAGATACTGGTGTAGAAAAGCTTGGGATATTCATCAAATCACTGACTGAAGGGGGTGCAGCTGAAAAAGATGGCAGGTAACTATTTGATATTGTATACCTTAGTTTAATTAAAACTTTCAAAAATATGATTAACTTTTTAATTCTTAACATSTTTCAACATTACATTATSCCATCCTCAGAAGAATTAAAAAGTTMATCGTATTTTTGCAAGTTGTATTATCTCTGCGAAACTTTAGTTGTAATTAGCTGACAAATGCAGGCACAAATTTACTCTCATATTTGAAAAGTGTTGATCTTGAACCTCTATCAAGCTGGATTGAATATAGGGGATCATTGGTTAACATCTYGGCATGCCCATATTAGATAAGGACCATTTTGTAAATTTCAGAAAGCTCAAATAGTCTGTCATGATCACAATAATAAGCATTGTTTATTCACAATGCAACATGGCATGTATATTTTTATGCTTCTCTAAAAAACATGTTATTACCATATTGATTACAGTAATTTAAGATGTTTATCTCTGGCGATGTGCCTTGATTACTTTACTCTCTAAAGTTTTATGCTTTTAAATAACTATTGACAGTCTAAATACCTCTAACTCAGTTAGATCTCAGATTTGACACTGTCTTGTTGTTTGATAATCACAAAAGTTATTATTAGTTTTATTAATTTGCCTTCTTAGTCAGTARTTGATGATCCATTTTTATCCACCTTTTCAGAATCTGTGTGAATGATCAAATTATTGAAGTTGATGGAGTGAGTTTAGTTGGTGTAACTCAAATCTTTGCTGCTCAAACTCTAAAAAATACCAGTGGAACTGTCAGGTACATGTAAATTTATTATTAGTGTTCATGTTTAATCATAAAAAGCTATTTATTTGTGTATTAGAAAGGCTTAAGTAACTCAATGAATTCATTTGCTTATTTTTCTGTAAACTTATGCACTTTATATTATTTTTTTAACTTTGATTATACTTATTGTCATAAATGCTTTCAATACTTGAACGACACTTATTGTCAAATTCTTGCACAGATTTCTCATGGGGCGAGAGAAGGGAAAGCAACCAACAACAATAAAGCCTGCTAGCAGTTCTACCACCGAGCAAACAGCCAAGGAACTGCAAGAACTTAAGGTCAAACTAACTAAGGTAATAATTGTTTTTATTCATATTTATATCATCTATAAGCTTTAATTCCCAAGGAATTTAGTGTTTCTGTTTTCCTTGATCTACTTGGTATTCCTTGATAGTTAGCATATATTTTACTTGCCAAATTGTAGACGGAGATGAGAGCAGACAGGGCTGAGGCAAAATTGAAAAATATGGAAGCAAAACTGGAGGCCTTGACATCATCAAATGTAAGTCAATTTTTTTAAATTCAAATTTCAATGTTTAGTTTATTATTTGCTTGCTTACTAACTATCYGTTTATGTATTTAACTGTTCCCCAGACCAATGATACTAGTGATTCAAGGACTGCAAAACTTAAAGAATCATTAGAAGAAGCAAATGAAAAACTGAAAAGTGCAGAGACRGAGGTTGCCATAGCTGAAGCTGAAAATGCAGATATGCTTAAACAACTTGAAGAGAGCAAAGGCATGTACCTATTGCTGGAGAAAAGATACAATGCCTTAAAGAACAAGAACAGTGAATATGAAGAAAAGCTTGAAAGGTAAATTTTGAACTTCCTTGGAATTTATAGTGTACACCAGCAATTCAAGATGATAAGTCCTGGAATTGCTTCATTTATTGACTCCAATCGACGTTACCAATTGTACTTTTTTCGTTTTTTCTACAGGCAAAAGAAAGCTTCAGAATCTAAAAGTGATTCATTCGCTATAGCTCTTCAAAAAAGAGTATGTTAATCTTATTAGTTTGACACCTTAGAGCTCTGCAAAGACTTGCATTTCCTTTTGTATTTGTATCCAACAMGTTTTCTTACTTCTCAAYCATTATGATTGYCTTGACTRTATGTTAYTATATTACACAGATMAAAGAGCTTGAACAAGAAGTCAAGCAACTCAAGTCATCRAAAACAGATAGCAGTAAATCATCTTCTAAAAGAGGAGTTCCTTTGACAAATGGCACCACTAGTAAACCACAAGAAAGATATTTCTCTCTAGAGGCCGAAAAGTTTGAAAGAATGGCTGCAGGTTTGTTTGTTTATAAATAAAATAAGAAAATACAAGTTTAATGAATGAATGAAGTAATTACAACAGTTGTAGACATGGTGGTCATCTATACATGTAGCTTACAAATATGTATGTGCCATTTAGCTCAAACAGAAGACATAGCTCTTGATCTTGACATCATTCCAAGTACAAAACCCCTTGACAATGCTCTAAATCTGGACAAAAAACGAGTTGCAGAAGCACAAAGCAAGGCACATAAGCCGACCAGAGCAAGCTGGGGCTGTCCAATTGTCTGTTGCTATCTCTTGATTTTGAGGTTAGGGTTAGGGTTAGGACAGAAGACATAGCTCTTGATCTTGACATCATTCCAAGTACAAAACCCCTTGACAATGCTCTAAATCTGGACAAAAAACGAGTTGCAGAAGCACAAAGCAAGGCACATAAGCCGACCAGAGCAAGCTGGGGCTGTWMYTTGGAGGATGACTTTGATGTAAGTAGATATTGCTTTATAAGTGTTAAAAAGAATTAATCCAGAGAACGAATTGACTAAGGAATGACTGAAAAAATAAACGAATAAATAAACTGACTACAGTAATAAATGAACCGAAAAATTGAGAATGAAATGAATAAATGGAAAGTAAATTAATTGAATGGACAAATGAGTGACCGTTTCTGGAAATGAAACAGTGTGATAATGAAGTATGAAATTTGGAAGTATTATTTTAGTGGTTTACTAAGCCACTCTTGCCCAACCCGTTTCATCATTTACCACTTTATATTTCAGATCTTCAAAAATGGAGAACTTGATTATGACGAAGAGGAAGARGAGGATAAGAATCAAGACRTGAGTGAAACTACAAAAGTAGAACGTCCGAAGCAGTTTGGTCAGGCATTTGCCCTTCCTGGGTTTCCAGCCGGTGGTTTTAAGCTAAAGCCGACAGGGAGAAGTCTAATGGATAATTCACCAAGTGAACCCGATGCATCACCTCAGCAAGGTAAAGATATGCAGTTATTTCAGATAACTTTGAATATSAAAATAGAGTATTCCAGGTCTTAAGTGCATTTTTAGTCGTCCTGTCGACGTTCAGAAGGAATTATTATGGTATCAGAGTGACTATACTAACCTTTGTATARTCMAKAACTTCAAATAAAAGYWWTTAGAATTGTCATTTTGTAACGCAGCTAACGTAGCACTGCATTGCGGTCTTGCAATGTATAGTAATTAGTATTCAAGGTTTTCTGAAATGATAAGACTAAAATATGTTTACAACTTGACACAAGCGTTGAAGTATACTATACCAGTGCAAAAGTGCTTGTTTTGCAAGTACTTCCACACAGGATGATATTATTGGATGGGACAAAGGACATACCATTTTGAATTTATAATCAATTTAGAACTAATAAAACTTCTGCTATTCTCAGAATTGAGGAGCAGCTATCCACTAGCAGTCAAAGAGAAATCACAGAATGTTGTTGTCGAAAATTTACTTGAGAAACAACTGAACAAAACAAACCAAAACAAAGTGGCATCGTTACCGAGTGCCATTGACCAGGAAGAAGGAAGAATACCAAGAAGAAGCAAAGATTCTGATGAGTTCTTGGGGAGTTCTGGTAATTCACTCGAYGAAATAGGAGAAGCTGCTAGGAGGGTAAGKGAATGTGTTATAAACTGGTTGSCTRAATACTYMCRATTTGTATTGCATTCCTAGTTCGAGCTGTCATACGTAAAGAAATTAGGCGTAAACTGTGAATTCACTTTACCCATCCATCCAATTACCCACCTTTTTTTTCATTCCATATAACGTCCTTTGTGACCCTACAGCTGACATCCCACATTTTGATTTATTAATAGAAGTGATTTTTCTCAGATTGACTCAGACTTAGCATCATCACAAGCCTCATCACGTGGCTCGTCACCATTCCTCCCTCCTGCAATGCCGCTGCTCAAGATGAAAACTGTGCCTGTCTCAGAATCTCAGTTTAATGAGTCGGCAGTTGACGTTCCTCCAGAAATGTCAACAGATTCTGATTCGGAAGCGAACAGTATGTTAACTGCAATTCATGGTGTATTAATGCGAAAATTTGTAGTGTTAGATAAATAGAAATTGCAAAATTGGGACTAGTATTAGCAAAAAAATAGCAATTTTATGGGCATATCGTAAGTGTCGTTTTCACTTTACAGTTCCAAGTCCCGTGTCCTTCAGTCCAACTTCAGATGCTCCATCCATTGGCAGTGGATCTTCACGGTTGTCCAATGCATGGCTGTCGCGACCTGTTCAAGAGTGGGACGTACAACAAGTAATAATAATAATTTTATAATAGGCCAATGAGGAATACTGTCACAAAGCATAATCAGGCAAAAAGACTGTGCCATTCGGCCCTAATCACTTTTTTTCTATATTTCTAAATTAGGTTGGTATGTGGTTAACTGGACTCGAATTAGAAGAATATGTRATTGAGTTTTCAAACAAAGACATAGATGGCAAGCAATTGCTTAATCTTGACACTTCAAAAATGAAGGTTTGTTACTGAGACATGGGCTCTTTACTCCGTTACTCAGTTATAGGGAAACCAGAGTTTTAGCTAAGGTCTTTGTCTTTTATAATGCTGCCTTTGAGTTGTCCACTCCACGCTTCTCTTGCGCTCTCCGTAACATTGAAAGTGTCTGTATCTGATGGCAACTTCATATTTTTAAATATTCAGACTTTCATTGCAGCGATCGGTCGGTCAAGACAGCGCGAAATAATCAACCAATCATAGCACGCACGGAGTAGCCAATCAAAGCTCGCAATAATCGGCCAATCAGAGCGCACTTAATTTGATAAAGTTGTTCAATTCAAAACAATTTTATTGCAGTCCATGGGTATAAATCAAAMCTCAAGAGCTATTCTCAAAAAGCGCATCAAGGAACTCAAATCACAAACAGAAAGAGAAGGCAAAATAAAGAAAMCTAAAGAACAAAGACCAGGCAAGAAAGAAACCAGTCCCACTCCTTTTCAAGACAAGTTTGAAAAACTTGGTTTCATCAAGAAAGGAAAGTACACTGTCAACTAAGAAATAATAATATCCTTAAAAACTAGTGTACYATTTCTKGTAAAGGTATTCGCAGTGCCAAAACTAACCAACCAAATATTGTTCTCCAGTTTATATGTACTTATTGACTTTGTGGGWGAAGCGGAGGGGAAAATATTTGGCYTCAGGTCACGTACCGTAAGCGCAARATCCCTACAAGCGTCCAAGAGYCAAATGTCTCCCGTCCGACCAAACCTGTCAATAAACGYACACTTAGTCAAGAGTGATGGGTAGTGTTTGGTCGTATAACTTTTAGTCATTTAGGCGCCGTTGATTGAATATTTCTGATAGTGTAACCACACATCATTTCCTATCACTCTTTGCAATGACATTTGTTAAAACGATGCAGAGACTTCAAGCGCTGATAAGATGCGCGTCGTCTGCTGTTGTTTTTGCTGTTCTCCCTGTAACTCAGTCATTCCAGGGGTAGCAGCGTGAAAACGAAAAACCAGTTTTGACAACCTGTTTGTGACGTCAAAAGCCGTTGTGGTTGTCCCGYAAATCTTAGGTGTTTAGTCAATTGTACGCTATGAATGGTTTTCATAAACCTGTGAAACAAAATGTAATGATGTTTGATACACCAAAAAGACCAGGAAAACACTGACATAAAGTTCAGTTTGCTAAAGTATATTTCATGGGTTTATAAAAATCTCCCTAAACGCCGTTTGTGTTTGTAAACAAATGTAACAATGTGTATATAGTCTTTTTGTTATTTTAGAGCTCAAGGGAATATTTCCGTATTTTGTACCATACTTGTTCTGGGCCATAACTATTCGCTGCCTTTTTTCGTAATTCCACAATATTGTACAAAAAAATTCSCCATGGTAAGAAATCTACGCAGCTGGTTTTGCAGCAACTACTTTAACATAATTAGTATTTCGGACCATTAGCAAATTGTTAATAATAATAATAATAATAATGATAATGAAATATTAAAATTATGCATAAGAGCCAGTCATAACAAACCCTAAAGGCCTTTTGTAACTTGATCCTCTGGAAAACCATTATGGCTACAATATTGAAAGCTTGAAGGAGAAAGGTGCCTTAACATTCGGCATCGACTGCAGACCTCTGAAGCTTTTACGTCATGTACTGTATACACAATGAATTGTAGACCTATTGTAGGATATGTTTGGAACAGAAAAATGACGGATTTCTTTTGTTTTCTTTAAAAAATAWACGTWAAAGGTTCAGAAGTCTATTCTTTGTCCTGACATAGAGTAGCAATGGAAAATCTCGAGTCCAGAGTCTCTCCGGCTTTTAGTCAGCGGTCTGTTTACGTCACCAAAGTGCGCAGGCTCTGGATTCAGATTGAGCAATCAAAAAAATTCTAAACTTTAAGATAAAAATAATCCTTGGAAATAGCCTTAAATAATTTCCATCTTATAAAGCAAATTCTGCTCGTTTCCACTATCATGACATCACTTTGTACTTGACATTTGAAGAATTCTGCTGTGAGCTAGTGTCAAGAAAAACGAAATGGCTAAGGCATGGTCAGGTTTTCCAGATCCTATTCTCTCTTCATCGGAGGCTCTGGAAAACTCTGGAAAACTTCTGGTTTTCATTGCTTTGTAGAGATTCGTTACTTTTGCTTTTTGAATTATCCAATCACACAGGTTTTCCCATTACCTTTGATGTGAARCTAGAAGGGTTTGAGTTTGAATCCCAGAAACACAAAGAAATTGGTGGACTCGTGCAGAATGTAACATAATTTAAGTGTCATGAACGTGGCACTTCATAAAATTCAATTTTATTAAAATTCCATATTTTTATATACATTTTTTGTTTTTGTTTTGGGTGATTGAGAATTCCACTGATCTAACATTTACAATATTGGGGTTAGGAGAAATTGATAGATTCAATAATAGATAATCTTCAGTTTTCTTAGCACGACAAAAATATGTAATGATAAAATAATATGCCAGGCCAGTAACGAGATATACGGGATCAGGGATCAGGATTTTCAACCAGAAGTGTTGGGAATCGACAACAAGATTGTGAGCCATTGAGAAGCGTTGCRGCCATTTTGGTGCACATACCAATGGCTTCTACGACTTCACAAGACCAAAATAAATAGAATTATTATACATACATGAAAGTCTATCGACGTCTTGTATGTGATGTGAAAGCATCTTCGTCTTACTGACAAAATAAGTCTTGCTTTGTGAGCTTAGTTGTCTCCAAGATGAAACTGCATTCACATGTACTGCAAACGTGGCAATGAGTATGGTGAATAGAAGGCAAGAGTTAATGGCAATAATATAATTAGGTAACAGTTCAACATTATATCATTTAATTTAGGTAGTCATTGTTAATTAATTTACTTATTAAAAAAAATTAAAACCAAATTTCTACAATGGATTGTGCAACATTTCTTTAAGAAAATATGAATAAAAAAACTGTTATCACTGTGTCTTGAGAAGTGTTCCTTGTATACRTGTTGASRRRTCTATATAAAGTTTATAMACGTAACASTCCATTTTAAAGAAGTTAMAAGGTAGCCGTGCCTTTGTATCAAAGCGAGATAATGATTGAGCATTTGAAATTGTAAATCCATAAAAGCACTTTTAAAAGTCGTAGAATCACGTTGACATATAGATAATACAATGTAAATAGTTTTATTAGTTCAAGAGTGCTGCTGATATATTTACAAGCTTGCAAAGAGTCGGGGTGSATATATAAACAAAGTTTAGTGGGGAAAGGCGGTCACGCGCTCGCCAGCCACTATTTCAAGCCACTTCATGTTGTGTGATTGTRTCTTGACGGTAGTTGTACATCGTAGTCGTACACTTAGGTCATGTAGACCATTAGAGAGGGTTAGCCGGAAGTAGGAACAGGAGTGCCTCTATACCTACACATCTCGATGATCATTCTGAAACATACAAAGACCTTAGTTATACACTGGAAAACATCGCGCGCTTKAAAKGTTGTAAATTTGATGTACATATGATGTAAGTGTCCAAAATTCTGTAAATTTAATGGAAATCATTTACATCAAATAWACAGAATTTTGGACACTTACATCATATTTACATCAAATTTACAACCTTTAAAGCGAGCGATTTTTTCCAGTGATAGTCGTCTCACTTCGACGTAATGATGGCTTCCATTTATAATATCGCAGAGAGCAGTAGATATAGAAGGAAAACATACTTTCCATACCTAATTCCATATGCTAGAAATATAAATGCTATGCATAAAGCCACTGTAGCGTCTAGGAACCAGATRGCTTTGGAATGTTCGTAGAGTACTGACGCAATAAGCACAGCGAATGCCATTATCCCACCCGCAGTAGTGTTGAATGCTGAAAGAACCGGCGTTACAAGTGATTTTTAGTTTTGTTTACGACATGAGCGGCCGTGCTTTAGAATATAATAAACCATAGCTTTTAAAAAGGTGAAACGCAGAATAGTCTCCTTCGCAGTCTCCCCTTTTGTCGGGCTGCGCAGGAGACTAAGCGCAGAAGGACGATTGGCAATTTTCGTTACGAACGGTAAGTCACGACCCAGGGGAGCTACTTGCATGAAAAGCGACCCATGGTCCCCAGGRACACTAGTGAAAATATATCGTTATTACCGCCATATTGGATTTTGAAGAAATTGAAGGGATTATCCAGGAGGGTTAATACCAAAAAATAGTTTAAATAGTAGTAATTTCTTGCTTCAGAATCTGAATTATTGTTCAAAACATCATATGTTTCGATGTTTTTGATATTTTATTATATAATATTGAATGCGAAGCCATTCTAAAAGGAAGGAACTCGATTTTTCAAGCATTTTGTGGACTCCCAGCAAAATTTTAATTCTTGCAACGCCCCTGTATCATTAAACTTTAATATTATCTTACCATCGACTCTCATGGAATAACTGTCGACTTTATAAGCCACCACATATTTCATATAAGCAGCTATGAAGAGTACCACAAAGGTAGCAGCTGACAATATCAAAAGGCTGTCGCTCTGCATTAAARCAAAAGTAATAGTCGAAACCATTAAACTGTTATTATCATATCAAACACATTAATTTAAATCCATTTTTCGATTTTCGATTTTGATTAATTCCTTTAATGTTTGGAAGCAAAAGATTTAGGGGATTTATTTGAAGGTCAAAAGCATTAGAAGTCTTAAGGCTAATAATATTTCCAATATGGCCGCCAAGGGATTTGCGTTAATGTTTTCCCGACAATACAAGTACTTCCGGTCATTTTACAGCTTTCCAGACAAAATACCATTATTGGCTTAAGCAATAAATAAAAAAAATCTCAAACAAGAACGGCAAGCGAACACTTGAAAATGGAAACACTTCAGGYCCGTTTACATTTGCGATTTTTGCAAAGCGATTCTCGCGCGACCATCGCCGGAGTTTCGAACATTCTTGAAAGTTGTCTGCAACTTCGCARGCGATTTTTCATCGCCACAACAATCGCAGGTTTGTTTACACGTACGATTTTAGTTGCGCGACATTAAAGTGGGGATTATCGCGCTGCAAAAATGTAAAAGTGTAAACGGGTCTTAACATTCGCTAAACTCGATCTTTCTGTAGTCATTCAGAGGCAGCTGATTTTGACGTTTCATACACAAGATTAGTAGTATTGTATCGGGATATTTGAGATAAATTCTTACCCGTCTAGGTTCAGTATCGTCTATCAATGTATGGATAGCTTTCGCTGATATAGCAAACGATGACAAAATGAAGCATATACCGATACCTATACTCGCCCTTTGAAAACAAAAAGAAAAAAATTGTGATCAGTGAAAATGCACAACCTAAAGGCAAAACTGGGGCCGTTTTCAATTGCGGGAGTTACTTTTTCAGGTCTGCCAATWGGGGGAGATACAGATTCGATTGGTGGAGAACCCCGATACCTACYTTCTCTCCTTGTCATATGAATATAGATGTCCTTCTTTTCCCATAAATCTCCATACGACGACTATTGATGATATACAGTCAAGAATGACTTCAAACTATACAAAAAATCAACCACATACCTCAATAATTCATAACATCAATGGATTTTTATAGAAAAAGTTATATGTCTAGACAGTATTATTCTGAAAGGAACTGAAGGTYGCGTYCTTTCAAGATGTCGCCCGCCTTTCTGCGGTTTCCGTGTGGACTAGACAAAATTTGTGGCGGGATTTATTATACTTTTATATCAATTAATGCATAAAAACACACAAAAAAAAATTTATATAACTCGCTTTACAATCAATCTATTATGGAACCTCTACATAAAAAAAAGCTGCGCACATTTTCAATTTTTGCAAAGAATTGCCGCCATTTCGTAAAATGGTCAGGATATACTCTGAGAATTTTGTACGAAAAATCATGCAATTTTAGTTATCAGGGGCCGGTTGTACAAAGAGTGGATAACGTCATCCACTCCTAAAATTTTGTATGGGATTTTATCCACTATAGATATGGATTTATCCCTTGGCTAACACTTCGTACAACCGGCCTTAGGCTGCTGATCGATATTCATAATCTCCTAACCGTTCCCACTTTAGAGTAGGAAGCAATATTGTGGTTAAATGAACGCTTTTTCTTACCACTGCCTGTCGCTTATAAAATATTATATACTTCCCATATTGTTTAGTATTGATAAATGGAGCTATTTTTAATTTGCACTTACCGCAAAACCAAAAGCCGCAGGGCTTAGAATCGCGAAAGATAGAACTGAATATAAAATAAAGATGAAAAATTGAAATTAGTATAACCCATTTATATACAGTCATTAAGAATGGAAAAACGTCATATTGTATAATTAAAATTTAATAGGAATGTACTTGTATTATTAGTGCTAAAATAAAGCTGTTCGTAGAAATACTTTATGACAATTAGTAGCTCGTATGAAGGTTTCAAGTTCAAATGGACACAAATTTTCATTAAGTTTTTTTTTGGTCTAGTTCCTTTTTCATACACAAATCCTCTATATCTTTAGCGTCTAGAGCACAAAATAACCTTGAGTAACATTTTGATACGAGAATTTGGGTTTGAAACCTAATAATAATGACTAAACAATTACGATTTTACTGACTTAACGTATTGTGTTTTTATTCTGTTCTAACTATTGGACTATTGATACAGCTTTGCTGGATTTTCTCTTATCAGATCAATTCGAAGCTTTTGCCTTATCAGATTCGTATCATAATAGCTCTTTTTGACATCCTTTGAAAATTRAATTTCATCTTCACTMAAAATGGAAAAATTAAAAATGGAGAATCTTCATCAAGTATTGTTTTTATTGACGTTTGTGCATTGACAACCTATTACTACTGTGCTACATGTTTGCTCGTGGACTGACGAGTAATTCAGCTGTTCGAGTCAGTTTAATTAAAAGATTTCTTTGAAAGCATCAAATTAAAAGGATTTATGCGTTTGTTTTTGCTATGTTTCGACCTTGAAACAATAGAGAGAGGAACAGGTTGACATATTATGATTCATAAAAACTGTATTGCAGACAAATATAGCTATAACATCCAGAAGCGACTGTTTTTATCTGTTGTTTTGATGTGACTTTTTTGTTCAAATGATTAGAGGATAAGAAATGTTACATTACGGCTAGTCCTTTAAAAGCTGACGCCGAGTGAAAAAAAAACAATATGAAAAAAAATACAGAAAACGCCAAAGAAAAAATAAATAAATAAATACTTCAAAAGGGAATTAAGAATATTTCTGTATATACATTACCGGGAAAAAAKGTCCMCTAGGCTGAAAGAAAGCAGTCATTCCAGCTTTTCACGAAAAACGCGTAAATTATAATGCCGCGGGAAAGAAACGAAAGCGAATACCTTATACAAACTGACAAACCTAAATGATGTTTTTTCAGTAGTTTTGTTCAAACATYAATGATTTTTTTAAATATTACTAAGTTATAGTCTATCCTTTTTTAGTTTAAGCTCGGATATAAACCTCAATATGCTTTAACAATTAGAGAAACCACGCGAACCAATATGTCATACTCATTCTAASGATTTTCCTCCAACTTTTGTAATGCACTCACCAAGATATACAACTGCCAATGCAAGGTTAACAACAATTGAGAAAAACGAAATGCAAAGGGCTGCTGTCCTCCATTTCTGTGATAATGGAGTGTTAAGCTTCTCGACTTGTTGAAATAATCCTGTAAAATAAAGGAAAAATAGGTGTGAGAAATTCATAAACTTGCGCGTCGATGCCTATTTGAATTACAGAAGCAGAACTTATGGGAGAAAAACAAAGATTATGTTGTGTTCTACACACGATGGATTCCTACCCAGGAAGACTCTTAAACTTAAAACTTATAGCAATCGAAAGTACACTTTCAAACCTTGGCTTTCTTCAACGGCAACTCTGTTTGCTCGTCGTAATTTCTCACTGTCCGTGTATTTGAATTTAACTTGTAGCATTTTCACCCGATATCTCCACTGTCATAATTCCCAGTTTTCAAGATTGCAGGATAYTTATACGGATAACAAKSTTTTCCAGAAACGCAACGATACTAGTAAAACGGAAAGTGGCTTATCGTTTTGAGTCAAACAATCAAATTTCCCAAACGCTAGTGGCAAATAAACGGTTTATGCAAATCGCATTCACCAATTGGCTATACCATTGCTATACCATGTCTTCAAACTTTGATGGATCCATGACTAATAAAAAAACTCTTTTTCTGGTTGAAATTTTCAACCAGTTAATCTCTCGTTGATCCCGGAGGAATTATGTAAAGTAGTTTTTTTTTTCGTGTGTGGGTTAAAATCATTGATTAATTTGTGCCATTAAATCAAGTATCCCTGTGGCGAGGCCTTGATGAAATTCTTTTAAAGAATGGGCATGTCCTTGGTTACCGATTGTCGCGAATCGTGTTCAGGTGACGGCCACTTACAATAAAATACGAATTTATGTCAAAACCCCAAAGTCTTTCTACTGTCCAAGTGACACAAACTYGCGGCTATATACATAGARACGATATCCYTTTTTGCGGTAAAAGAGCGGACTACAGGAGATTTTTTTCCAAGAGGAATTGTTAATTATWCAMAGGCAATCTTCAATTAAACGAACACACTATGGCGCGATATGAGAGCTATAAGATCGATGAGRAATCTTTGTTTATATGTATAGCTAATATAATGTCCTTTAAATGTGCTTCAGCCCAAATTCACAATTAAATATTTCCCGGGCAATATTGGATTGCAATTATTAAAGTTTTTCCTCTTTAGTGCACTTAAGAACTTGATTGGTAGAAGTTAATAACCAAAGACTAACGTCTATATTAACAGATTAATGCCAATATGAACAACCTTGATTACAGGTCTGCCAATCACATTTGAGTTCAAGTAAGCTGTACGCCTTGCCTTGGGATTGTATTGCTTTTTTCATATGATCTATTAGGAAGATGTACTACTCAGTCTATACCCAGCTGAGCTTAAAGTGCCGATACCTAATTTCCATTCAGACGGACGGTTCCCAAGCATTCAAATTTCTCGTGAATTTCGGGTAAAAATGTTAACTGAATGTATTGATCAAAACAATCAGTACGCTTCTAATGTTTTCTCTATCCGAATAAACGYACCAGTCTAAATAGTTGCAATTGCATTGTTGCACAATTACGTCATCATAGTTGAAAGAGGAGTTAAAATGAGAAAAAATATAAAGAAAACACCGCAAAACTTCATTTTATGAACAAAAAAGGGACGAATAACACGAAAATACTAAAACTACAGACGACCAATCATTCACATACACATAGGTGAGCTAAACTAGATAATTTGATCTCAATTTTCATTGAATACGAAAGATATAGCTCAAATTTCATCAAATCTAGCTGTTTCCAGTTGTGAAAATGCTGTGAGGTCATAGTTCAACGAATTGGATCCTGAGAAAGAAGAGCTCTTTTCGCGGTTAAAACTAGTTGCGCGGGGGAACTGTGGAACTGCACCAAAGCGAGGCAGAATGGCGCGACAATGGTCTCTTCACAACTTGTTTACTTTTTTTAATGTTACGAATTTTTTATTTTTTTTTTTGATTAAAAGAGTCATAACTTTGACATGACTTGGAACTGGGCTGCATGCATCAAACATGTTTCCCGATTTTGTCTCCCTTTGCTTTTAACCTCGAAAAAGACCTCTGAATACGAATTGGTATACCTATGTCATAAAATTGCACAGGCAATCCAACCAAAAGCTTATATACTTTTAGTTTTCACTACTAAAACTTTACGTTCTCTAAAAGCCACTTTTAGACAAATGCCGCTATTTGATTAGGATCCACATCATTGTTTATACTGAATTTACTCATGAGGAATCAGCTGTTAGAATAACAACATCCCATAATCCATCGTGGGTGCCGACCATGTGTTTCTACAACCAAAAGGCACCGTCTGGCTCAGTGAGACCAGTTTCAATTCTCGCATTTGCAGACTTCAATACAACTAGTCTAATCGTTTAATTCTGTTTAATATACACAGGAATGATACCTTGTTTCTACCTATGGAATAAGGCATGATATCATATTCCAGTATCATTTCCCATATATACACTTCGACATCTTTTGTCTAGTCTGCGGGTCATAACCAAAATAATAGGACGGCTTGTTTTATAGTCAAAGTCTGGTTTTCCTAGAAATTGWACTAAACACAATATGTAGATGATGATTCTGTATGGCAACTGTTTGCATTTAACTTTAAAGACAAATCATTTAGTCTTTTTTTGACGATTTGATATCCCCTGAACGACCTTGTGAATGCTAACTCTTGATTCATGTAATGTATTTTTCTAAGTGTATACAAATATATGTATAATTATCAGTAATTAGGGCTACATAGGGCTGTTTCATTAGCATTTAAGATTTAATAAAATTATCATCTTCTATCAATTTTCGGCACTTTAGATGCAGTTCTTTCTGTAGTTATAACCAACGGATCATGACTAAAACCTTTAGCTCGTCGGCTCGTTTTGCGTAGATTATGGAGGCTATACAAGGAAATGCAAATAAGCTAATTTGGATGTGCTAAATGGAATAACTTGTTCTAGTGTATTTGCTTTTGAAACTTTAGTATAGAGTAAACTCTACGTAATTACTTTCCATGCATTGCAATATTGGTTTAACAATTCATCTTAGATACTTTCTATTCGTATTAACTGCAAAAGCTGACTAAACTAAACCTTTGTAACCTGGACAACCGTTTAGCTTAACAATTATCCAATTTTAACTTAGATTTAWATCAACGCAATTCAACGTAAATATCCACTGGCAAAGTCAAAAAAATATAAAACTTATAGTTATTACCAAATAACGAGATTTTAATTATCATGAAACGACTGCTTTTGCACAGTGATATCTCATCCAGGAAGACTTTTTGAGTAGTTTTACCTCCTGGTCATTATCGCCAGTTGTCTTATCCTATTTAGTAATTTCAAAAATTATTCATAGATGATGAGAGGCAGACAAAATATGATTTTAGCCAATTCAGTTTACTTTTCTTTCACAAATGATCTGTATCCATATCTAAGTTGATACTAGAAACTGAGAGAAATAGCTGCAACAGAGGACTGTATACTCGAGAGACGTGGACCTCGAATTCAGGGATAAAGTCCAAACTCCAGTAAAAACTCGTCTGTTATCAGTACTTTACCACTAAGCTTAGCTACAAATGTCTGAATTAAGGAATAAAGACGAAATTCCGTGTTTGATACTCTGATCAAAACACGCGGGATCTAGGGAGAGCACGAGAGAAGCGTAGCCGTAGGAAACCACGACGCGTAGCGAAAAAAAAACACGTACTGCATGACTTTTAGAACAGGTTTTTACGTATCTATATTCAATGTGCCGAAGGTCGTTTCGTGTTCATACTGAAACCACGAGAGACAATCAAAAAACCTAGTGTTATATCCTTTATACCATATTGATGAAGATTTACAGGGAAAAATACGCGATTATTTAAATAAATTAAAAATATTATCACTTACAGGAATCTAGTTTAAGCACAGCGTCTAAAATAAAAAGTCTAGAAATCCGGGTTAAGTGTTTTTAAGAGAATTCAATACTGACCAGTAAAATTTCGGGACTTGAGTTAATCTTATTCAGACTTTTTTTCAATACAATAAGAGTTTCTACTGAAGACTGATGTGGCTTATAGGAAAAAACTCAAACTGATRAGGCTTATACATCAACGAGGAAACTTATATTTCGCGGCATGATAGYCGGTCAACAAGTACTTTAATCTTTGGAGGGAACGTCGTAAGAAAAATTATTACAAAATCACGTACGAAGAGCTAATGTGTAGATCAGAGTCATACGCCGAAAAAAAAAACAAAGCAAAAACGAGCAAAATAGAGAAATACCATGCAGCACTCTATAGTGTATTTTCGGTTTTATGTATAAAAACCATTACACAGCAACTCTTAAGGATTATTTAGTAAATGAATGATACATGATTGCTCATTTTAACAATGTGTACATTTATGATAATCTTTACCTCTTCCAATGCAATGAAAACAATAAGATAATAATAATAAACCTGTAATGTATTTATTTTCATTTTAAAACTTACCTGAAGTCATAACCACAACTGAAACGGCTTTCTTCCCGGCTGATGACCTATCATCTTCAATTTCTTCGGCTTTCGATGTAACTGATCCAACTATTAARAGAAACACGTGMTKAGCTTTCGACCAATCAACGTAGACTCTACTTAATGCCGGTAACAATCAATCAGTTGGATAATAGCTATTTTAATTAAGATTACATTGATCTTATGAGTAGCGATAGTCCATGAGGGATTAGTGTGGGTAGGTATAAGGACGACTTTGATCTGTAATCCCCACAACAAAATTGCGAGCAAAGATTTTCTGTCATCGCGTTTCAGGACCTTGYATTTCAAACACAGATCTGRTAGACCTGAAGGAAAATACTGAATGCGCATGATCAGTTGATCGTTACCACTGCTACAACAGTATCATTGTATAGTAAGGATTATCACTGAGGAGATTTTCTATTGAGATATTTAGCAGTTTTGTATATCTTTGTTTTATTGATAGTCCTCACACCCTAGTGTAAACATGCTCTTGTTTTTAAATGAACAAGTTCGGGGTTTCTTGACATAAGCTGTGTTTTTCAGTGTAGCAGGCATTCGAACTAATGTTTTTCTTAGTGTTTTGTGTTTATTTATTTGCAGGTGAAGTTGATATGACCGACTCAGAGGATTATMACCTTTCTATCAAACGTTTCAAAGTTCATGTCTGTATCGATGTCCAGGCAGTGACCAGTTTCAGACCTGGCCAGTCTTTCGGTGGCCCCGATATATTTTTACTGTCAGAACCAAAAAATGTCGCTTTTATAAGACTATAAACAATTAAAGACTTTCAAAAKGACTCCTTGCTGTGGTCATTTGAATTTGTCATAGAGTTGTATTGTGTGATTGGTTCGATTCCCTGTCTGATTCTTTGAATTTGAAGGCTGGTTCTCTTCATTGCTCCGAATTTKTTTATCCAGATACGCTGGTGTTTCTCACTMATTCAAAAAACTAGCTGTCAGTCTCGTATTATAAAACAGTCAATGTTTATTTTATTTATGCCCTTGTGTCTCCTAGATTTAAAAGGGAAGTACGGACAAAATTAAGCTAAGCCATCGAACGTCACTGCCAAAAAATTTTTCTCTCTTAGTTTTCGACTCCTTGTTTTATTTCTAGAAACATATCAATACACTTTTCTGATCAGAACTGACCATTATTTAAGATGAAAATTTGCTAACAGTGAATTTTATTTCGCGTAAGAGTTGATCATTAATAGGTAATCAATATGGCGGCCAATTCATCGTGGATTATCCGACAACAAACTGCGCATGACGATGGTCCAATATGTACAATCTCAGTATTGCGATATCTTGCTTTTTATCTCACTTCCGTTCTTTTCTGTACACTTAAAACAATAGTGTAGGATTTTTGACTTTTGTCAAAAAAATGCCGAGATAGCCTGTCTAAAACATGAGACAATTCCACAACTGTCAACCTTGACTGAGAGCTCTGACTAGTGACTATATCAGCTTGTGTGAGGTGTCTAACCAGAGCATGGCAGAGTGTTGTACTTCTTTTCTTTTCTCACAAATAAATTAGCATAAGAAAGAACAGCGAAGGAAATGAGATAGGAAAAGGAAACAGCCACCCCTTGAGGCGTCAACAAAAAGTAGAACACCTCAATAAACTTTATTTTGCGGTAGATGTTATTAAATATTCATTTACAAAATTTAAGATTCACGTTGTTTTTAAATATAGGACAGTGAGTTTTCACACAACACGGTTGATTAAAGCAAGTCAGCCTATGACTAACACAGGTAAACAAATTAAGAAACAGACTCAGTGAGCTTGGGCTCTATTTGGGATATGTTTTAACAGATGTCAATGTAAATAGCTGATAAACTCGAGTCAGAATCCCAGGTGAATAGGCCTTTAGGCTGAATACATGCCAAGTGTTGAATGAATTGAATTGCCTGTGGTCGAATAGATCATTTGAATTTTATTTGTTTTTCGCTGTATAGTAAATGCAAAATTCGACTTTTGGAAAAAAAGTTGATGAAGCGGCTTCCTTGAATCCAGCCGCGAACAGCTGAGGCAAAGAAAACTTCGCACAGCTAAGAAAAAAAAAAACCTCAATTTACTGAATGTAGATAATAATATTAAATAGTCTCAAAGTGCAAAACTGATCCATAACGAAAAACATTAAATACAAAGGACGCGAAATTCCCGATATTTAAAAAATTGAAAATCTTGTAAAATATTAAGTGAAAATTATTCTGAAATCAATGTATGTGTACAATCACGTCAAGATAGACACCTACGAAATCATCGATCAAATAATATTTGTACATCAAAATCATCKGTTCTCATTAATGTTAAAAGAATTGAAAACTAGTTAGGAGCTGGACTTACCAAAATACTTCGTTKCTTCCATTATGAGCGGTTTTTCACCCTGTTGACATAAACCGAATCATTAAGGCAATCAAGTATTTATACGTASTGCACATCTACTTTATAATAACAGAACCGCTCGAACTAATCAATTCATCATATATACGGACGTGATATGTTTTGGTAGATTTAACCAATCACAAACCACCTTTAAAATAGCTGCACTTAAAATCACAAGTTTTTATATTCAAGAGCTTTGTATTTAATTGAATTTATATTAACGTTAATTGTTTTTGCCAAAGGTTTTTAGATAACCGTCATGCACTGTGGTCGCGGGCTCTCCAAACGTTAAATGACACTGATTCTCAACTCTCTTCACGTCTTGCGTAAGAAGACCTAAGAAGAACGATAAGTCACTATGAATGATACTTTTTTCTGGGATGTTCCTTACCATGGTGACGTTCAATGGCTGAAAGGTTTTCATCCAGAGTCCTTTTCGGTCTGGTAAGGTTTACTATGTTTTTTTGAGGGGATGGTGGGGCAGTGGGAAACAGATCAGCGTTCAACCGAAAGAGAATCAAGAATTCGTTTTAACCAATACTAAGCTAGTGGCATATTTCCATGTTGGCTATGGCCCTTTCTGTAATTGATTTAAATTCACGCCTATTCAGATACGAAAGATACGAAAACAAAGAATCCATTGGGCCCCGTGACATGGTAATCCGCTGTCCAGGCACTATCGTTGATGCAAAATATTCCCAGCTGGGCAAACAATGATCTGATTGTTCATTATCTACTTAGTATTAAAACTACGATCAAGTTAACTTACCCAGTCTCTTTTCCTTCAATCGGTCCACTGTCACGAACCATTCTCGTACCCAGATCCTTTTCATCTTCCAACCGAAATTCAAAGGCTCCTACGATAGAGAGTAGGGTCTGGGTACGAGCGCATAAAGCGTATGAGGGAACGAACTGGGTACGAAATCACCATCTACCAGCTGGTATGTCTAGAGGACAAGATTTACTAGATTTCATGGAGTTCCAGAAGTGAACGTTTACAAAACCAGATATGTTGAGAAGTGGATTTCATAGCCAAGAGCTGGAATTATTAGACACAATTTGATGGTTTTTTTTTCAACAAAGTCCGTAAAATAAACCAAATCAGTTTCAAGTAACCGTGTCGAACTGTTGGGTTTCCTGTATCTAGTACCCAGTCCCAGTTACATCAAAGGTGCCGCATTTATACCAGGATGGTAAGCTAACTGGTACTAAGCATAAATTACATAAGTAAGAAATGCCTTATAAAACAAGAAAAAAAGAAGAACTGAGAACGGCCACCAGATTAACCACCTCAAAACAAACCAAAGTCTTGGTTTTTTTTATCAAAATTTGGATTTACTACTAAGAATATTTTTCCTTCTCTATTTTTCCCAGTATCATTAACATCGGAAATAACATGTGCTAGCAGTTTATCGGACGCATTCAACCAGGAACATAACATCTGCGGTTACAATACTCTGAGTTTGAGAGCGTCCTTTTCATCAAAAATTTATCAAAAAACAATTCTCGAAATAATGATTTTTAATGATATACAAAACAGCTTTACAATTCCTTTGAAAAACGATGATATGATCAGTTAGCGTCGATAATTAACGAACAGACCAAACCGCTTCCACAACAAATGCACTAGATTTATTCTGACGCCAGCGACCATTGATTAAATCTAAGCGATATAGTTACAGCAGTGATCGCCATTCACGGCAAATTAAAACCTGTTGATACAAGCTGCCACAAACATTTCWACGTGTATTGCTTTTCACAAAAAGTGTTAAAAGGTTGGGATTTTTTGTTGTYTTAAAAGGAACTCAGATTCGCATTGCTTTGGCCCCAAAGCTGTTGCTATGAATGGCAATTTATTCAAGCAAAACAAGAGCGATATCCAGTTGAGACTTCGACAACAGACCAAAAAACACTTGTTGCACACACGTGAAAATAACATTCAATGTTTAATGACATACAAAAAGCTTGATGCGTTTAATTTAACTTAAGTCGCTATATTTGTTGAAATAATTAAATCTTTCATTTCATAAATTCGTTTACTGCGAGAATAATCCCTTCTTTTTGAAACGCATTAATTAGCGTCTCGYTKCTATCGAATATACCTTTCTCTTGATATATTTTCTAGCCAAATTTCAAACGTTTGTCGTTGAGTTTCCGTAAACCAACTACTCGCATARGCAGTRGCTAACATCATGTGAACATCCTGCGARTATCCGGGAAAATTATGATAAAAATCAAAACATCTTTTAATTGCCGAAAATGTAAAGCCACGATCAACGTAATACGGTTTGGCATGCAAGGATCGAGCAATGAGATTAGATAGTTGTACAATAGATTGTGGAGAATAGCCGTAGTTATATTCAGGATCAAAGTCACAATCAAATTCGTCGTCTTCCTCTACTGAATGAAGTTCCATTTGATGTCTCATTTCCCGGAGATCTCTCTCGAGTTTCTTGACATTTCCTTGAGATAAATTCAATGCGTCTTTAGTTTTGCGCAAGTCAGTTTCCACAACCGCAAGCTGTTTCGTTAGTTCTTCTACTGTAGCGTTCTGGTTGATTTGCTCGGAAATAAAACTTGTACACGAAAGTCTTTTCGTCATTGAGCAGGTTGCGTGATGCTCAGCCAGTTGCGATCTTTGGATGTCTTTTTTACACGCAAAGCATTGGACATGCTCRTACCTACAGACCTTTAAATGAGAAAYGATATTGTCCAATCKGATGACCATTTTACAACCACTTTCAGAATTAGGACAAGTAACGATTAGTCCATCTATGACTCCTCTTAAAGCTAGGACTGGGATAAGATCGCTCATGTAAAGWTCGGTTCGACACGCCGGACACGATGTTGAACCTTCACTAGAAATCCTTCGCTGTAGCCATGTTTCTAGGCATTCTTCACARWACGAATGTCCACAGGGAGTTACAACAGCTTTCTCTAAAACACCAGCGCAAATACCACATATAAGATTGTCATCTACATCGTCAATAAATCGTTGTACGTTATAGCCCATCCTCACGCTTGTTGACACAACTGGCTCTCTGGACAGTTCGTTCGATGACCGTTTTGAATGAGTAATATTCGTGACCTGTTGACTTGGTTTAAATCTCGCAGGCGTCGACTTCGATTCATTGAATATCACTAACTAGAAAGATTTATAGGACACGCATGCGTGGTTGTAAATGACAGGTGATCCCTTATGGTTTAGTGGGTTCATCAATAACACTAGAATAGAAAAGAATATTGAGCTCTAGGGTGGTCAATGAACAGCTGATGCTGTGTTGTTTAGCGGGAAAATGGTGATTCCTGTTGATTTYAACTAATCGGAAACGAACGCTAACGAAAGTATAAACAGCACACAGAGAAATAAATTGTGTTTGTTGCTGTCAAACTCCAGAAATACCGAGCGGTATTTACATCTGCGTGGTATTGTTTTTTATGACCATTTCAAGACGACGCACCGACAAAGGTTGATAATGTTAATTGAACCCCATAACAACAAATATTAAAGATAAAACTAATAAAGAGGTAATTAGAATAACGAAAATAACGCAAAGCTCAAACACAAAACATGATTTGACAAAGCGAACTGATATTAGTGTACAATTTTATGCAAATAAGACTTCAATACAACAGCACCCCTTGAGTTTTGAACAAAAAATATATATCGATGTCTGATTAAGAACTCAGTGGGGTTAAAGAAACTGGTCTTTGATTTCTCTGTTAAATKATTATGTGATTTTAATTACAAAACTGTGGATGTTTTAGATATCGTGATCGCATCAAGTATGGTTTAGTGATCACGCAACAATCTCTTAGTTCAYGATGRCTAAGTGCTAAAAAAGTTCAATTTGCATATTTGTTGCTACGGTGATCACAGAGCACACGATTCCACTAAAACTTCAAGTACAAAAAATAATAAATGTATTACAATAATYGTTTCGCAACGATTAAGAATCAGTTATCGGTGCAACRCTTYSGAGAGTTTTGATTTTTTCGCTTTAGCCATAGCACGCTTGATTAGTTTCCATAATCGATGTTTCATTGGATTAAAGTTTTTGTTCCTTTTTGTTTTAATKCGGTTTCGTTTTGTGAAACCTTTGAACCTTCGATCGTCCACATAACCACCTAGTGATGGAATATCTACATTGTTCTTGTAAGGTATTCTTGCTTGATGAAGAGAAATTTGGTCCGGATCTATGACTGACACCCGCTGACCATTTACTCTTGCAGCCGCATCTTTTTGCATTCTTGCCCAGTTCACTATTCCGGGCCCTCTCATCCCCATTGAGCGAACTCGAAACAGGTACTTGTCCATAAGAGCTTTATCACGGGCCGCTTGCCTTTGTTGCTCATACATTTCATCGTTKGTCCTTCCTGAAATGATCACAAAAGTTAATGCATTTACTATAACCTTATTTAAGTGTTTCTTTAATCTTGTTATATATATTTGAAGATTTAGTCATCTTATACTTCAGACTCGTATCATGGTATATCTAGGATCTAGTGAGCCCTATTTTTTGGTGAAAATATTGATCCCTGAGCCCGATTCTCATCAAATGTTTGATCCCTGAGCCCGTTCAAACATTTTGAGCCCATTTAAGTTGTTTGCTCAAGAATTGCTTTGAATAGTGTTCAAAAGATCTTAGCTAAAACCGAAGGAGGTCTCCTTATACAGTATGACAAAAAANTACCTGACTTCACGGAACATGTGCACGAACCTCATCGGTATTCGGAACTACTTCGGAAACGATGTTTTTTCGAATATTCCGCAGTTTAAGTTAGTGCTTTTTAGATACTTCTTTCACAGAAAAATTAAAAATGATTTTAACTCAAATTAAATGCATTATTATTATAGTATCCCAATTTTTTTCTCTTGAGCCGTGAGCCTAACACTTTGAGCCCAGAGCCCAACCAGGATTTCGGAATTGAGCCCGGCCATTTGACCAATGAGCCCTGAGCCCATATACCATGTTACGAGTCTGTATACTTACCTAGTTCCTCTTTAAACGACTGCATCTGTAAATCATCCGCGGCATGAATATCACCCAGTTTTGTATGAACTTGATTATTAAGTATATTAGCCTGTAAAGGCGATATAACGCCAAAGTGTCTGTGATTTCTAAGGCCGCGTGCACTGGCTTGAACTGGAATTCTAATCACGTGCCCATTCTGTGAATCCTCCAAAGGCGGCTGGTCCATTAGCGGAAGGCCTATTCCCCCTGTCATCTTGCTTGTAATATCATTTGCATTGTCACCAATTTCATCGTTCACAAGAGCATTGAATCCATCTCCGTAGCTATTCGGTTTACCACGGTTTGGATACAAATGTACAACGCCGTCCGATGATAAACGAAGCTGGTCAGCAAGAAGAAGGTTCAAATATTCTAGAACTTTCTTTGCATGTTTTCCGTTGTGCTTGTCCAGGAACTTCCCCATGAGGTGTTTCAGATGTTTGTAGTATTTATTGTGGAATTTTGTATGATGTCTTCGAGGATGGTTTGGGTTGTAACGGTGTCCGTTTTGTTCGGACATTTCTTTACAAAGTTCTTTAATCAAAGGATGTGTKGCATGGAGGCAAACCTTTTTCTTCCTATACTTCACCTTTACTTTATTGAAGAGGTCAGCTAATGGTTCCTTGAAGCCACTAGGYTGATAGACAGTTTTTTCTGGTTCATCATTCAACCTATCATTCATTTTCCCACTTCCATCGTTAAGTGTCCAAGGAAGCAGCTTTGAACACTTTCCCTTTCTGCCGCTCCCTTTATCACGATGCTTCTTACGTTTTGGATAATCATAATCTTCCTCATCATCATCATAATCATATTCATCATCGCAGTCCTCGTCATCTTCACCACTGTAATCATCATCATAGTCATCGTCGTCTTCCTCATCATCATTCATGTCATCTTCAGCTTCATCATTTTGTTCTTCATCATTATTAGGCCTTTTCTTTTTCTTTTGCATCACATTATCAACTTGTCCTGCTCGGAGCATTTTCCTAAGTGTAGCACTGTCTACACCTATTATCGTCTGAAGCTCCTTAAACATAGTTTCCTTATTAGGTCCAACAACTTTCTCCAGATCRTCGGCTGCTTTTTTGGTCGACATGATCTTGACAGGTCTTGGAACTGTAGCATTGTCAGGTATGTGCACCGCCAGCCATATTCCATGCGAACTCTTGCTCTGAAGCTCTTTGATCTGCATATTTTCAGAGTCAGTTCCCCTGACTGAGGCGTCAGGCAGAATCACGACTTTACTTGGTTCAACTACTTTGTTTTTCGTGTTGGCRGTGATGTCGACGTTCTTCGATGTCTCGTCTTCGGACTCTTGAAGAAAAACAATACACACACTTTAGTGCACCATGCCAAAGTTATTCCATGAAGTCATGCATGCTATTTATCGATAATACACACTAAATGATACAACGTGTCATAATTGCGTTGCAAGACTGACATCCAAATTSATAAGTCGGTAGGTAAAGAGGTGTAATTTGCCGAAAAGGTATGGGATAGTTGGTATGTTAGAATTCAAACACTATACACCCTTTTAATAAGTCCCGAGGTATTGTGTTCTCCGCTTTTGACGTCAAATTTATTCTTTTTAATTCCTTTTGTATTTTAAAAATTTCAAACAAATAAATTTGACGTCAAGTGCGGAGAACAAAATACCTCGGGACTTATTAAAAGGGTGTATACGCGTGAAATAGTTAACTTATGAAATTGTGCTATACGTTTTCTTCAATATATCACATTTATTTTGGTTAATTCGTGATTATATGAACAGTTACATACACTAGCTTATCTAGGACTAACATAACATTGTCCTGGAATTAGATATTATTAGCAACTTATTACTGTGAATTTTTAATAATACTAAAAACTACTTTGAAATCGCATCAGTTGCCGATGCAACGGAAAATAAGACTTCAAAATTGTAACCCAAATGTAAGACTGAGTGGACAAAGATAATACATTTTTTATCTGTAAATCAAATTGATTTCAGCTTGTCAAGTGTTTCTCTTTTCCGTCTCTTTTGTAACACATCTATGATTTTGTTTGGCATTGCAAAGCTGGGATACTCGTTCTGTAAGAAGTCAACTTCTTGTGGAGAGATGACGCTGACTTCTTGTTTGTTATCAATGCTGCCGTAATTTTTTGCAAGCAAAGGCCAACGAAGAATCATTTCTGGGTCAATCTGGTTGGTCAATCCAGACTCGTCGATTCCTTCGATCCGCAAAGAAGCAGCAGGGTCGAGAACTTCTAGTAAAACAAATCAACTGACCGTTAGATCTTTATGTTGAAATTTTCGTACAAAAGCCAAACTGCAAGAATACAACTAGCTACCTTTTTGACGTTGGTTTTTCTTTTTTGAGACTTTGGATAAAGACCGGTCTCGTTCTTGTAACTTTTTGTTTATCTCGAATTGTATGTGGTCAAGTATGGTTTCCCTTTGTTTCCTCTTTGAAGACAGATAATCTGGATAAAGATTTCTTCCCAGGAATCGCGCATCATCGTCGTCTGATTTTATACTTKCTTCATCTTTGGGTTCATCCACGAGAACGTCACCACTAATACCTTCTCCATGATTGTCATCACCTGACGACTTGGCAACATCATCATCATCATCATGACCCGAAGCACGCAGGACATTGGTGGCTTCTGTTTCGTCTTGTCGTTTCTTGTCGTTTCCCGGTGCGGAACCCTCGTAATTGATATCTTCACCTTTWTCACTTCCATCAAAGCTGTCCATTTGGTACTCATCCAGTTTCCCATAATCAYTATTTTGTCGAGTTTTCATCCCATTTTCAAAATCCAAGTAGTTTTCGCTTCGCTGKCGATAGTCTTCAACTGGTGGAATGGAAAAGCCTTTRGAAAAACCATCACTGATTCCTGTTACATCGCTTTGCTCTTTGATGTACTGTTCGTTCGRGTTAATCCCAAGGTTTTCATTTATCTTTSCCATTCCTTGGCCAGCGTCATTTATTCTGTTGTAAGTGTAGACAGCTTTAGCTAAACGGTCGCCTTCACCGAGGGCGTTGTCTATTTCCTCTCCAACAGAGAACTCGTTAGGGAACTCAAAGCTATGGTGAATTGAAGAACGCGCTTGTGGTGGCTTCATTCCTTTGGAAAATGCGTGCACATGCAGTTTAGAGGAGTTATCATTAGTAGATAAATCAAAGGCTTAAATGTGCATTACTTTTTACTTTTGATCGCATTTTACTCTAAAATGTTATTTTTAAGACAATTTGGGATTACTGTTTATCAGAAGTCCTTTTTCTAGCATATGCCCTTAGCTRTA